TCCTCCAAACATAATGAAAAAAAATAACAATGGTTGGGGAAATTTAGGATGGGGCGTGGTCATGGTAAAGTGAAGCATTTCACAATTTTCTTACTTATTAACTTCTTATCACCTGTTTCTTTCTTTCTAATCACCCTTATTAATTAAAACACATAAATAACAAAACATATGTCTTGGGTGAGGAAATTTAGGGTGGGGCAGGGGGTTCACTTCACCATGCCCATGGTAAAGTGTTTATTTGATTGAATTAGAGTGACGAGAAAAAAATTGGTAAAAAAAAAGAATTAGTATGAAAATAGTGTAATGATTGTAATATGGGATAATATGTCTGGGGTGGGGAAATCTAGTATGGGCAGTGGCCATTATTTCAACGTGGCCAAAATTAAAATTGCAGATTATCTGACAACAATTAGTCATAAAAACATTTCCCTACCTCCGACATATTTTTTGTTATTTATGTGTTTATATGATTGAACCAGATCGATGAGGGGGGAAATGGTGACCATTGTGGGTTGTATTAAATACGTTTATCAATCTGAATAACATAACCTTGACATTATACTAATCGGTCCTTGATTATATAACATAGGATGTAATTTACACCAGTTTCTTAAAAGTTCAATAAACGGATTCAAAGACCTTGCTGGAATCACATATCTCATATAGTTTTTTTTAGATAAGAGCAATTCATTCATAAATACAACAGAATAAAGACACTTTTAACATAAACTCAAAAGGAAGCGCGAGCGTGTACTCAGAAGACCGTAACGGACATAGCACGGTCGCGTTCTAACAGATTACAAATAGGGATAAGGAGAACGCTATTTTCGGGAGCGTTGGTCATAAGACAACTCTGGTTTGTCAAGAAAATCACAATTGGCTTCATTTTAAAGATACTTTTTAAGTATGTATTTGTAATATATATAGGGAAAGGTTTTAACGCGGTGTTTCAAATCTATTCATTTCAAAATACAATAATTTAAGAATATCAACGAAATCAGATAGCGAACTAATGTCGGGTATTACATTTCGTAAATTGTGGAGTTAAATTTCGTTGTTCACATCCCTTTAACTAATTGTATTTAATTATTTGTACGCAATATCATTGTGTATCACGGGATAGGAAGCGTATATTGAACGTGTAAAACAGATCCGCTACACGAGAACTCATTATCTTCAAAATCTCACCATATTACAACCTTTTCGCGAAAATATTGCTACGCAATTGGTTATTTTAAACACGAATACCTCTCGATAGGTTGGTTTTAATAGTTGCATTGAACTCTAAGTGAAACAGCGCCATGTATGCAAATGACTCTACACCCACTATGACGACTTCACGAAACCTATATTAGAAATATAACTAAGGGGCGACGCAGGGCGAATCTTGGCCTCAAAAGGGACTTTGTGTTGGCTTCAAAAGGCACTATGTCAAAGTCTGCAAACTTGATTTAACATTTCATCAGGAACTAAGAGTCAGAAAATTGACCAACAAGGACTATGAAGGGTGGATTTTAATTCATGGTGATTGGAACATCGAGCAATGCAGATTTACATATTATCTTTTCACTTTCTATTAAAGTTTTATCATCGCAACGCAGTAAAATGTTAAAATGAGTGTTTTTTTCATTCAATGATATGTAACTAGCCAGTATTTATTGTTTAATCCCAGGAAGAGCTTTTTTAACGGATAAACATAATTCATAGAAAATGTTAAACACATACTGAAGACGTCACCTTACACTGCAGTAAAACTATCTGTCTTATAATATTTAACGTACACTGCAGAAAAACTGAAAACCCTCCTTATAATACTGGCCACATGCTTGCCATCTTCGGTTTTCTTCCTATATATTTTGAGTTTCATACAAACAAACACGAAATATGTTAAAAATTCTCTGAATGGACAGCACCATTGCGACACTACAATTGTGGAGAACTCGCAAAACCACTCACGTTGTTGCAACATTTCCCTCACATTGATGATAACACAAACATATTTGGAGGGAACTATATATATAATAAGATTTTGAAAGTTTCACTTCAGTAGTTATCTCTGCGACTTCGATTCCAAAGATCCCTAAATGGACAGCACCATTGCTATACATACACGCGATATTAAATCTTTCGCTATGCAAGCTTAGATATTCACTAATGTAGAAAATGAACCGTCTTAAATGTCACATGCCATCTAGTTCTCTATTTGGTTTTATTTGTTTGGGCTTTTTTCACATGTTTTGTGTTTCAAGAATCACGCTACTAAACCAGCCAATTACTCATTGTTTCCTAGGAAGAAACATGTTATCTAAATTCAGATTTCGTTGACCACTTTGCCCCTGACTGTTCAGATCTATAACTGGTCACGGAGTTTGGCATTATGAAATTTAACTATAGATTTATTCATATATGGAGATCCGAAACTAAGAAAAGGTAATCGTGCGCGCGCGAGCGACATTATAATTGTGGGGAACTCGGAAATCCACTCACGTTGTGGAGAATACGTTTTGCCATTCACAAATTCCATGGTTGCAACATTTCCCTCACATTGATGATACCATAAATATAGTACTACGAGTGCCCTCTCTCCCCTCTCTTCAGCCCCCTCACACAACAGAAGGATTTCAGTATAAACAGGTTCAGGATCACCATCAATATTCGAAAAGGGAAACGTGTAAAAGGGATATCCAAGCTTTTCTTGTGGTCGTAAATTATAGTCATGTCTTCATTTCAGTAGATCCTTAAAATGAGCAATAAAAACCAAACAGAGTTTCTCTGTTCTCATCAATTTCACCGAGACGCCGTTAGACGCTCAAACACGTTAAAAGATAAATGTAGGTATACCAATATATCATGATTTCTACAATCGAACGACGATCATGATATGTCGCTTCTAGAATCCTGCTCGTCTAGGTTCAACCGAGTGCGTTTGGCATTTATATGTTAATGACTAATAATGTTTTGTCTTACACCGCGATTTTGAGCTAGACCGCAAGTTTTAGTAGTCCTCAGTGAATCGTTCGACAATAATGCTCTGAAGAATGATATGAACGACGTCAACACAATGCTGAAAATCAATACTTAGTCGGTAGCAAAAGTTGAAGTGACTTGCTTTACTATAACTGTACCTGTATAATGGCCACAATGTCTTCATTCCTAAATGCACATCTGGAATTACACGGCTGTGTCGTCATGAAGCACAACACTACAAATCAATGCGTAATGTTATGATAAGTCTTCATACATCTCTAAAACAATGACGATATGCGAGATCATGAACCATTTGATTTATACCCCTAATCAGTAGACAATATTGTCACATTTTCTAAATGTAGCCTTTCAGCAGATAGTAAGAAGACTACTAAGAATTTAATCCTATAACCGGTCGATAATTACTTATCCCGGAGTAACCCACTGCAATTGAGCATCACGGAGAAATAATCCGCAGTTTGTACGTATTTCATCAAAATATCAAGTTACTTCAGAAATCCTATATTCAGTATCTAAGACAACACAGATGATATAAAGCGAGAACACGACAACCCTATGACGATTTATATCAAAGCCTAGAAACGACCTTTTTACAGAAGCAATGCTTGGCTCCATGGCAACATCGTTCATGCTTTTTTAAATTTCAAATGAAATCTTTTCGAATGGTGATACTAAAGCAAAACTTTAACCTTGCATTTTTTGGCCAACAATTTTCATGGTAGTGTACGTATTCATTCAATATTTTTTTCAGTTTCTGGTAAGTACTGTTATAGCGCGAAGGGTTCTGACTATCTATCCGCAGTTTTAATTTGTCTTCCCTCGATGTCTGATAGATAGTCGGAACCCTTAGGACCATTATAGATATTGATGGGTACATGCCTCTTTAATAGACTGGTTAGTGTTGCTTTGAATGTTCTTGGTGCAGTGGAGTATTTTTCTGATGGATACTGTATTTTTGCCGAATTGATGTCTCGTTTATATTGTTTTACTTTCGGCGGTGCAGAAACATCCAAGTAAAAGGACTGCTTCAACAGATCACATATATATGTCAAAGCAGTGGTTAATTAAATGATGCTGTGGTAATGCCTTTTTCTTTCACCTTGTTACAGATAAGGACTGGAAACTTTCACCTCATTTAGACAAACACAGATACATCTAAACTAAAAGATAGAATGTTTGAAGCTATAATTATTTTCTGTCTACATTACACAGAGGTAACAGATTTCTTTTTTCATTCTTTTCTATGGTACAGCTATTGTGACATGAATGTAACCTTAATGAGAGGGGTAATAGAATAATTACATATTAAAAATTTCCTAATGACTCTTCACACAAAAAGATGATAAGTGCCAATAGCAGATGAATAATGCATATTCTTCAAAACTTTATCAAAAATTTATCTCTCCTATTTCCCCCTCCCAAAAAAAGGGATATATGTATGAAATGTGTAATTGCTTGTTCATTTGTTGGATTAATTGCCCTGTGAACGGACATTGTCATCTTGAGGTAGAGTCCCCTTTTAATACCTGGCATCTATCTGTCTGAACAACATAAGGGAGGCCAAGTGCATGGCATTCTGAATATTTAGAGTAAAGTGTCTTGCCTAAGGATACAACCATGACAGTGTCTATTTCAGGAAGCTGAGAAACACAAACCACCAAGACAAAGGAGTGACAAACCATTAACATTGAATCTTCAACTGAGGTAAAGAAAACCAACACTAAGCATTCTGGTCTCCCAGAGTTACCTCCCATCGTTTGTTTCAATGTGTCAGATGGTAAAGCGATAAGTTGGACAGTCGATAAGGGCCATGTAGGCTGAATGAGTCATCATGCCTCCTCTGAAATGTGGGAGAAATTGGGTATCCTAACATTGAGAAATAAAGATTGTCAGGTTTATTTCATCATTTGGATAGCTTCAGGGTATAAAGAGTATACAGTGAAAATTCTCACTATATCTCAAATGAATTAGAGAATTTAATACACAGTAAACAAAAGTGATAAGTAACAGTGTGGGAATCGGCAATGTTGATATTTATTTATGAATTGATGACAATGTTGTAAATATGAAAATGAATGATCCAAGAGTGATATGTACAAGAAAAAGCTGACTTGGGTAGAACATCACGTCAACGTTGTAGAGTTTCTGCCTCGTCACTGTTAAAAATTTCTGTATCAATCAAACTTATTCAGTTTGTTCAATATGTACAGCTGTAAATATTTACAATGTTCTGTATGATTGACAATTATATCATTTTTATATTTTCATGAATATATGATGTTACAATGACTTTTAATTCTGTCATACTTTAATGAAAGTAAGCTTGAATTCACACTCTATGGTTGTCATTAGTTTAGTCACATTCTTACAACAACTACCACTTCGTAGTTAATTATAACTAAATCTTATTTTTATCATCTCTAACATGTCCATGTAACAACACTAACTTCCTCTTATAACCAACCTCTGAAATTCTACACACAATTTTGAAGAGCTCACTTCTACAATAAAATTCAATAAATCCAACAAGGGTATGAATTTCTAGAATTATTTTACATACATTATTTTTGCAACAGAGTTACATAAGCTTTCAATTATTATCTATTAATTCTTGAAGTTTCACCAATCCTCAGAGTAGAGACCTTACAATTGTTCCTGAACTATAACCTTGTAAATTGACAGACTTAAACAAATACACTCCAATCTTTACTTCTGAATTCCAACTCTGTGTTTCAGATATGATCCATACATGCAATGTCTGGCAGTAAACCATGATCAAAATAAAAATGTTACCCAACGCACTGAACAAATATTCAACCATTTTACCAATACAATAAGGCTTCTTTCATTAAATTCTCTTCAATTCTATGTGTATTTTCAAATTTCCAGATTTTCTTTGAAAGGCAGCACATTCCACAGATGTTAAGCGTTACAAATCTTGTCACATATTTAGGCATAAGATAACAATGTTGGGTGACAGATTTGCTACAAAAAGTGGGACATGGGGTCGTCCATACGTCGCTGTTTGAGTCGCCAAGCTTCCATCTCTTCCTCAGTGGGGGCAGCCTCTGAATACATGCTGTTGTATGGACGTTTCCTCTCGTCCATCTTCATCAACTGCTCCATTTTCTTTTGGTGATCCTCTTCCTTTTTCAATGCCTTATGACAGAAATAAAAACACATACAGCAAAAATTACAAAATTTGCAAAATTGAAGAAAAGATGGTAATATATTGATTTGTTTTATGGTTTTCCATTTTATTCAATTGGCTAGGGAAAAGGACAATTTCATTATTTGTCTAATATCAATGGTAACACAGAGACAATATTTCTGTCCTCTAGATTAAACAGTACAAAAATTTTAGGGTAGATAAGACTAATGTATCGCTGCAGTAAAATGTGTGTACATTTTCGCCAGCCTATTGTCTTTTCTTAGAATATCATGTTGACTGTTGAATCCCACCACTACCAGGGGATTTTGCAAAATCTCAATCCATCAGTTTCATTACTGTAAGTCTATGTTATTCTGTTCTTGTTTTCCTATTCCTCATGTTTGTTGTGTTTACCTGAAGACAAACCAAATTATCTTAATACACACAGACCCTGTGATCATCACTAACATTATTATCTTTAAACATACACACACACACACCCTGTAATCATCACTAACATTATTATCTTTAAACACACACACACCCTGTGATCATCACTAACATTATTATCTTTAAACACACACACACCCTGTGATCATCACTAACATTATTATCTTTAAACATACACACACCCTGTGATCATCACTAACATTATTATCTTTAAACATACACACACCCTGTGATCATCACTAACATTATTATCTTTAAACACACACACACACCCTGTGATCATCACTAACATTATTATCTTTAAACACACACACACACCCTGTGATTATCACTAACATTATTATCTTTAAACACACACACACACACACCCTGTAATCATCACTAACATTATTATCTTTAAACACACACACACCCTGTGATTATCACTAACATTATTATCTTTAAACACATACACACACACACCCTGTGATTATCACTAACATTATTATCTTTAAACACATACACACACACCCTGTGATTATCACTAACATTATTATCTTTAAACACATACACACACACACCCTGTGATTATCACTAACATTATTATCTTTAAACATACACACACACACACCCTGTGACCATCACTAACATTATTATCTTTAAACACACACACACACCCTGTGATCATCACTAACATTATTATCTTTAAACAAACACACACACCCTGTGACCATCACTAACATTATTATCTTTAAACATACACACACACACCCTGTGATCATCACTAACATTATTATCTTTAAACACACACACACACACCCTGTGATCATCCCTAACATTATTATCTTTAAACACACACACACACACCCTGTGATCATCACTAACATTATTATCTTTAAACACACACACACCCTGTGATCATCCCTAACATTATTATCTTTAAACACACACACACACCCTGTGACCATCCCTAACATTATTATCTTTAAACACACACACACACCCTGTGATCATCACTAACATTATTATCTTTAAACAAACACACACACCCTGTGATCATCACTAACATTATTATCTTTAAACACACACACACACCCTGTGATCATCACTAACATTATTATCTTTAAACACACACATACACCCTGTGATCATCACTAACATTATTATCTTTAAACAAACACACACACCCTGTGATCATCACTAACGTTATTATTTTTAAACAAACACACACACCCTGTGATCATCACTAACATTATTATCTTTAAACACACACACACACCCTGTGATCATCACTAACATTATTATCTTTAAACACACACACACACCCTGTGATCATCACTAACATTATTATCTTTAAACAAACACACACACCCTGTGATCATCACTAACATTATTATCTTTAAACACACACACACACCCTGTGATCATCACTAACATTATTATCTTTAAACACACACACACACCCTGTGATCATCACTAACATTATTATCTTTAAACACACACACCCTGTGATTATCACTAACATTATTATCTTTAAACACATACACACACACACCCTGTGATTATCACTAACATTATTATCTTTAAACACACACACACACCCTGTGACCATCACTAACATTATTATCTTTAAACACACACACACCCTGTGATTATCACTAACATTATTATCTTTAAACACACACACACACCCTGTGACCATCACTAACATTATTATCTTTAAACACACACACACCCTGTGATTATCACTAACATTATTATCTTTAAACACACACACACCCTGTGATCATCACTAACATTATTATCTTTAAACACACACACACCCTGTGATCATCACTAACATTATTATCTTTAAACACACACACACACCCTGTGATCATCACTAACATTATTATCTTTAAACACACACACACACCCTGTGACCATCACTAACATTATTATCTTTAAACACACACACACACCCTGTGATTATCACTAACATTATTATCTTTAAACACACACACACCCTGTGATCATCACTAACATTATTATCTTTAAACACACACACACACACACCCTGTGATTATCACTAACATTATTATCTTTAAACACACACACACACACACCCTGTGATTATCACTAACATTATTATCTTTAAACACATACACACACACCCTGTGACCATCACTAACATTATTATCTTTAAACATACACACACACACACCATGTGATCATCACTAACATTATTATCTTTAAACACACACACACCCTGTGATCATCACTAACATTATTATCTTTAACACACACACACACCCTGTGATTATCACTAACAGTATTATCTTTAAACATACACACACCCTGTGATCATCACTAACATTATTATCTTTAAACAAACACACACACCCTGTGATTATCACTAACATTATTATCTTTAAACATACACACACACACACCCTGTGATCATCACTAACATTATTATCTTTAAACACACACACACCCTGTGATTATCACTAACATAATTATCTTTAAACATACACACACACACACCCTGTGATCATCACTAACATTATTATCTTTAAACACACACACCCTGTGACCATCACTAACATTATTATCTTTAAACACACACACACACCCTGTGATTATCACTAACATTATTATCTTTAAACATACACACACACACACCCTGTGATCATCACTAACATTATTATCTTTAAACACACACACACACCCTGTGATCATCACTAACATTATTATCTTTAAACACACACACACACCCTGTGACCATCACTAACATTATTATCTTTAAACACACACACCCTGTGATTATCACTAACATTATTATATTTAAACATACACACACACCCTGTGATTATCACTAACATTATTATCTTTAAACACACACACACACACACCCTGTGACCATCACTAACATTATTATCTTTAAACACACACACACCCTGTGATTATCACTAACATTATTATCTTTAAACACACACACACACACACCCTGTGATCATCACTAACATTATTATCTTTAAACACACACACACCCTGTGATTATCACTAACATTATTATCTTTAAACACACACACACACCCTGTGATTATCACTAACATTATTATCTTTAAACACACACACACACCCTGTGATCATCACTAACATTATTATCTTTAAACACACACACACACCCTGTGACCATCACTAACATTATTATCTTTAAACACACACACCCTGTGATTATCACTAACATTATTATATTTAAACATACACACACACCCTGTGATTATCACTAACATTATTATCTTTAAACACACACACACACCCTGTGACCATCACTAACATTATTATCTTTAAACACACACACACCCTGTGATTATCACTAACATTATTATCTTTAAACACACACACACACACACCCTGTGATCATCACTAACATTATTATCTTTAAACACACACACACCCTGTGATTATCACTAACATTATTATCTTTAAACACACACACACCCTGTGATTATCACTAACATTATTATCTTTAAACACATACACACACACCCTGTGATTATCACTAACATTATTATCTTTAAACACATACACACACACACCCTGTGATTATCACTAACATTATTATCTTTAAACACACACACACACACACACCCTGTGATCATCACTAACATTATTATCTTTAAACACACACACACACACTGTGATTATCACTAACATTATTATCTTTAAACACACACACCCTGTGATCATCACTAACATTATTATCTTTAAACACACACACACACACACCCTGTGATCATCACTAACATTATTATCTTTAAACACACACACACCCTGTGATTATCACTAACATTATTATCTTTAAACACATACACACACACACCCTGTGATTATCACTAACATTATTATCTTTAAACACATACACACACACCCTGTGATTATCACTAACATTATTATCTTTAAACACATACACACACACACCCTGTGATTATCACTAACATTATTATCTTTAAACACACACACACACACACACCCTGTGATCATCACTAACATTATTATCTTTAAACACACACACACACACCCTGTGACCATCACTAACATTATTATCTTTAAACACACACACCCTGTGATCATCACTAACATTATTATCTTTAAACACACACACACACCCTGTGATCATCACTAACATTATTATCTTTAAACACACACACACACCCTGTGATTATCACTAACATTATTATCTTTAAACACACACACACACCCTGTGATTATCACTAACATTATTATCTTTAAACACACACACCCACACACACATTATTATCTTTAAACACACACACACACCCTGTGACCATCACTAACATTATTATCTTTAAACACACACACCCTGTGATCATCACTAACATTATTATCTTTAAACACACACACACACCCTGTGATCATCACTAACATTATTATCTTTAAACACACACACACACCCTGTGATTATCACTAACATTATTATCTTTAAACACACACACACACCCTGTGATCATCACTAACATTATTATCTTTAAACACACACACCCACCCTGTGATCATCACTAACATTATTATCTTTAAACACACACACACACCCTGTGATTATCACTAACATTATTATCTTTAAACACACACACACACCCTGTGACCATCACTAACATTATTATCTTTAAACATACACACACACACACCCTGTGATCATCACTAACATTATTATCTTTAAACACACACACACCCTGTGATTATCACTAACATTATTATCTTTAAACACACACACACCCTGTGATCATCACTAACATTATTATCTTTAAACACACACACACACCCTGTGACCATCACTAACATTATTATCTTTAAACATACACACACACCCTGTGATTATCACACATTATTATCTTTAAACACACACACACCCTGTGATCATCACTAACATTATTATCTTTAAACACACACACACCCTGTGATTATCACTAACATTATTATCTTTAAACACACACATACCCTGTGATCATCACTAACATTATTATCTTTAAACACACACACACACCCTGTGACCATCACTAACATTATTATCTTTAAACACACACACACCCTGTGATTATCACTAACATTATTATCTTTAAACACACACACACACACACCCTGTGATTATCACTAACATTATTATCTTTAAACACACACACACACCCTGTGACCATCACTAACATTATTATCTTTAAACATACACACACACACACCCTGTGATCATCACTAACATTATTATCTTTAAACACACACACACCCTGTGATTATCACTAACATTATTATCTTTAAACACACACACACCCTGTGATTATCACTAACATTATTATCTTTAAACACACACACACCCTGTGATCATCACTAACATTATTATCTTTAAACACACACACACACCCTGTGACCATCACTAACATTATTATCTTTAAACATACACACACACCCTGTGATTATCACTAACATTATTATCTTTAAACACACACACACCCTGTGATCATCACTAACATTATTATCTTTAAACACACACACACCCTGTGATTATCACTAACATTATTATCTTTAAAAACACACACACCCTGTGATCATCACTAACATTATTATCTTTAAACACACACACACACCCTGTGATCATCACTAACATTATTATCTTTAAACACACACACACCCTGTGATCATCACTAACATTATTATCTTTAAACACACACACACCCTGTGATTATCACTAACATTATTATCTTTAAACATACACACACCCTGTGACCATCACTAACATTATTATCTTTAAACACACACACACACCCTGTGATCATCACTAACATTATTATCTTTAAACATACACACACCCTGTGATTATCACTAACATTATTATCTTTAAACACACACACACACACACCCTGTGATTATCACTAACATTATTATCTTTAAACACACACACACACACCCTGTGATTATCACTAACATTATTATCTTTAAACACACACACACACCCTGTGACCATCACTAACATTATTATCTTTAAACACACACACACACCCTGTGACCATCACTAACATTATTATCTTTAAACATACACACACACACACACCCTGTGATCATCACTAACATTATTATCTTTAAACACACACACACACCCTGTGATCATCACTAACATTATTATCTTTAAACATACACACACACACACCCTGTGATCATCACTAACATTATTATCTTTAAACACACACACACCCTGTGATTTTCACTAACATTATTATCTTTAAACACACACACACCCTGTGATTATCACTAACATTATTATCTTTAAAAACACACACACACACTGTGATAAAAACACACTACACACACCCTGTGATCATCACTAACATTATTATCTTTAAACACACACACACCCTGTGATCATCACTAACATTATTATCTTTAAACACACACACACACACCCTGTGATTATCACTAACATTATTATCTTTAAACACACACACACCCTGTGATCATCACTAACATTATTATCTTTAAACACACACACACCCTGTGATCATCACTAACATTATTATCTTTAAACACACACACACACCCTGTGATTATCACTAACATTATTATCTTTAAACACACACACACACACACCCTGTGATTATCACTAACATTATTATCTTTAAACACACACACACACCCTGTGATTATCACTAACATTATTATCTTTAAACATACACACACACACACCCTGTGATTATCACTAACATTATTATCTTTAAACACACACACACCCTGTGATCATCACTAACATTATTATCTTTAAACACACACACACCCTGTGATTATCACTAACATTATTATCTTTAAACACACACACACACCCTGTGATTATCACTAACATTATTATCTTTAAACACACACACACACACACCCTGTGACCATCACTAACATTATTATCTTTAAACACACACACACCCTGTGATTATCACTAACATTATTATCTTTAAACAAACACACACACACCCTGTGACCATCACTAACATTATTATCTTTAAACACACATTGACCGTGTGGTCATCACCAACAAGTTACCCTTACCTCCTTTAATTTCCTTTCCTTCACTTTGTCTTCATCCTCCTCCTCACTGCTGCTACTTGATGATCTTTTCTTATGTTTCTTCTTTTTCTTTTTCTTCTTTTTCTTTTTATCTTTCTCTTTCAATTTTTCTTGGTGTTGCTAAACAAAAATTATTTTTCTACAATCTCCATAGAGGTTATCATATTAAATATCAAACATTATGAATAAAAGTCATTGTGAAATGTTTTTGTTAACTGAGTAATATTTAGTCTGTTCTGTTCACACAAACAAAACTGAGGTCATAACTTATTTGAATGCCTGCACTAGAATTTGAACGCAAGGTCTCTGGCTTTCTGATATAGAGCTAACCTGATCAAGCTACAGAGATGCTCTATCTCATCCAGCTGAATACCCTGAGTATTGCTGCTAGTATTTTACCAGGGTTACATAACCACCCTCCAGGAAATAACTCATCACTGAGTTTCCAGGAGTTACAGTTGTTAAAGTAACACAAAGTAGTATTCCTGAGTCCCTACATATGCACCAACATAAAGTAAATCATTATCTATTTCAATACCGCCACTAAGATTTGAACCCAGGACCTCTGGGTAACTGGACTTATACATTCAAATAATCAAGCTACAGAGAAGATCTCTCTAGCTAAGTAGTGTAAAGCGACCAGGGTTACACTAACAAAAACCTATTTTTTTTATTATTATAACTAGGTATGTAAGGCTGGATAAAATAAGTTGACTAGAACCAAAAAAGAATTTGATACATATCTTCTCAGACTTTAATCAGAGGGTGCAACATTTTTGGTATGCATTGTGCAGAATTTGTTTACATTATAAATATGGCAATTATAGTCAAAGGCAAGTGGTAAGTAAACCAGCCTTTATTTCCAAAGTTCTTCACATTAACTGGTCATGACAGTAGAATTCTGATTGTCTTTATGCCCAAATTGTACTGAAGATATGTATCATTGTCCACTCACCTCTAATAGTGACTTGGGGGCCTCTTCTTCAGATCCTGTATTGTCCTGATTCTCTATCATTAAGAGGTTCTACAACAATACAAATTCAAACATCATTCTCGTTCTTTATCTTGTTTAAAGTTATACTGACAAACATTGCTGACCATGGTGCGGCTATAAAATTGTATTCTACAGACACTATCTTGTACCAATATCAGAATTCTAATCAAGTTGTATCAAAGTCTTCATTTATCTTATGATATAAAGTTTACACCAATTTTACAAGGAATTAGAATTATATCAGTTTATCAACTGAACAAAGCTAATCTTCAGAGACAAATCTAGGTCAACCTTTTGTATAGCTTATCAATGAATTTCCCCTTGGATATTTTAAAACAATAAATGTTTATGTGTGCAGCTTCTTCACCAATCTTACAAGAAGAATTAATGTTTTCTTCTATAGCCTTTTTACTAGTCTACCCAGTATATGACTTGTTTACCGTTGCAGCCACTTGCCTTTCTAGTACAATAAATGTTTTACCTGTGTAGCTTCTTTACCAGTCTCCCCAGTACAATAAATGTTTACCTGTGCAGCCTTTTTACCAGCCTCCCCAGTACAATAAATGTTTTACCTGTGTAGCTTCTTTACCAGTCTCCCCAGTACAATAAATGTTTTACCTGTGCAGCTTTTTTATCAACCTGCCCAGTACAATAAATGTTTACCTGTGTAGCTTCTTTACCAGTCTCCCCAGTACAATAAATGTTTACCTGTGTAGCTTCTTTACCAGTCTCCCCAGTACAATAAATGTTTTACCTGTGTAGCTTCTTTACCAGTCTCCCCAGTACAATAAATGTTTTACCTGTGCAGCTTTTTTATCAACCTGCCCAGCACAATAAATGTTTACCTGTGTAGCTTCTTTACCAGCCTCCCCAGTACAATAAATGTTTACCTGTGTAGCTTCTTTACCAGTCTCCCCAGTACAATAAATGTTTACCTGTGTAGCTTCTTTACCAGCCTCCCCTGTTTAATAAATGTTTACCTGTGTAGCCTTTTTACCCCCAGTACAATAAATGTTTACCTGTGTAGCTTCTTTACCAGCCTCCCCAGTACAATAAATGTTTACCTGTGTAGCTTCTTTACCAGCCTCCCCAGTACAATAAATGTTTACCTGTGTAGCTTCTTTACCAGCCTCCCCAGTACAATAAATGTTTACCTGTGTAGCTTCTTTACCAGCCTCCCCAGTACAATAAATGTTTACCTGTGTAGCTTCTTTACCAGTCTCCCCAGTACAATAAATGTTTACCTGTGTAGCTTCTTTACCAGTCTCCCCAGTACAATAAATGTTTACCTGTGTAGCTTCTTTACCAGTCTCCCCAGTACAATAAATGTTTACCTGTGTAGCTTCTTTACCAGTCTCCCCAGTACAATAAATGTTTACCTGTGCAGCCTTTTTACCAGCCTCCCCAGTACAATAAATGTTTACCTGTGTAGCTTCTTTACCAGTCTCCCCAGTACAATAAAAGTTTTACCTGTGCAGCCTTTTTACCAGCCTCCCCAGTACAATAAATGTTTACCTGTGTAGCTTCTTTACCAGTCTCCCCAGTACAATAAATGTTTACCTGTGTAGCTTCTTTACCAGTCTCCCCAGTACAATAAATGTTTACCTGTGTAGCTTCTTTACCAGTCTCCCCAGTACAATAAATGTTTTACCTGTGTAGCTTCTTTACCAGTCTCCCCAGTACAATAAATGTTTACCTGTGTAGCTTCTTTACCAGTCTCCCCAGTACAATAAATGTTTACCTGTGTAGCTTCTTTACCAGCCTCCCCAGTACAATAAATGTTTACCTGTGTAGCTTCTTTACCAGTCTCCCCAGTACAATAAATGTTTACCTGTGTAGCTTCTTTACCAGTCTCCCCAGTACAATAAATGTTTACCTGTGTAGCTTCTTTACCAGCCTCCCCAGTACAATAAATGTTTACCTGTGCAGCTTCTTTATCAACCTGCCCAGCACAATAAATGTTTACCTGTGTAGCTTCTTTACCAGCCTCCCCTGTTTAATAAATGTTTACCTGTGTAGCCTTTTTACCAGCCTTCCAAGTACAATAAAAGTTTTACCTGTGTAGCCTTTTCACCAGCCTTCCAAGTACAATAAAAGTTTTACCTGTGTAGCCTTTTTACCAGCCTTCCAAGTACAATAAAAGTTTTACCTGTGTAGCCTTTTCACCAGCCTTCCAAGTACAATAAATGTTTTATCTGTGCAGCCTTTTCACCAGCCTCCCCAGTACAATAAATGTTTTACCTGTGTAGCTTCTTTACCAGCCTCCCCTGTTTAATAAATGTTTACCTGTGTAGCCTTTTTACCAGCCTTCCAAGTACAATAAAAGTTTTACCTGTGTAGCCTTTTTACCAGCCTTCCAAGTACAATAAAAGTTTTACCTGTGCAGCCTTTTTACCAGCCTTCCCAGTACAATAAAGTTTTACCTGTGTAGCCTTTTTACCAGCCTTCCCAGTACAATAAAGTTTTATCTGTGCAGCCTTTTCACCAGCCTTCCAAGTACAATAAAAGTTTTACCTGTGCAGCTTCTTTACCAGCCTCCCCAGTACAATAAGCTTCCTTCACTAATGAGTGACAGCACTTGTAACCCCAGCGACCATCTTTCCAGTATGATCCCCAGACACTCTAAAAATAAAGAAATTTCCATTACCATTTTTCATAGATGAAACGATAATTCTTTCATTAAAACACCATTAAAAACAATGAAGGGCAATAACTCTTTCAAAATTGTTGAATCAGAATGCCATTCAGGAAAACACATTTTCATGCCATGGTTATAATGCCTAACAGTTTGAAAGAAACAGGTCACAAAAGATGTTGCCAGACAAAGTTAGAATGTTGGTAAACAGTCAATAATTCCTCCAACAAGAGCATTGTGAGGCAAATCAATGTACACCATGTCAGAGAACCTTCAGGATCTATTGTATTGTAATCAAGTAAATATGGAAATGGAGATATTTAGTCTACGTATCAGGAGGAAAAAGAGTGTTATATGTTTTGCTGATAAACTACAGCATACCATGTGAAGAGATGGGGTGAAAACTACGAGAAGGAATGTCTGGACAAGATTAAAATGCTTATAAAAACAAAGGGCAATGAATATTGTTGAATCAAAATACTTAAATTAAAATTAAAATCTCAAAATGTTATGGTTGAAAAACTTATCAATGTCAAAGAAACTGGTTAAACAAGGAGATCTTTTGACAAAAACAAGGGGCAGTAACTCTACCAAATACAATGCAACAGAATAAAAATCCAACATCACTACACAGGCAGACAGTATAAATGGTAAATCTTCCATAGAATGAATTCTTTGGGGAATACAAAGTCCAGTTCAAGCACTAACAATGTAGACGAATTAGAGAACTGGACAACATTCTCAGAAGATCTCGGCAGATTTTAATGGTGTTTACATTTTTCGGCATATTAGGTAGGTGTTCAGAACAAAAAACAAAGAGAAAGCTTAGTAACTTTACATGTTGTTCTGACATGACATCATAGATACATGTGCTGCACAGCTAATGATGATGTAATGTTTACATTATAGAAATAAATGGTTCCCTGCTATTATTATTGATAGGTGATAAAAAGCAGATATATAGTATAAATCATGTACAATAAAACACCTCTAATCTATCATTACCAATATTTATAATTTAGCACAATCTATATTGTAACTATAAATGATGAGTTTTAAAGATAAGTACCAAAATTGTTATCAATGTCCTTCAAGACAGCTCACAAGTGGTGGTACAATTTTGTTTCACATTTTGTAGAAAATGATGCAATGATATATACCTTATATATGTACATTATATAATGAACATGTATGCACTTGCAGTGTCCAGTTTAATTTCACAGAAACATTATGATGTATCCGTTGTAGATTAACCATGCCTAATATTTAGTCCTTCTGGCTCTGTCGTGTTTGGGAATGGTATAACAGCTACCTCTGTACGTAGGCGCATATTTGAGTTTTTAGAGGTTGTTTTTAGGCCGATAATTTTCACATTTTGGACGTTATGTCCTGTTCTGCACAAATACAAATACTATGAAATACTGAATTATTCTGAAGGTTAAACTTTACGTTTAGCTGGATTGTAGTGATTTATGTTTGTTCCCAATTGAAACTTATTTGTTTACGAAATATTATTGAACATTTACTGTAATCAACAATAAGTCAATACCTGATTAAGAAACCCATCCAGATATGAAATACCATTGTCCTGTGCAAATCTCATCTTCCAACTTCACAGACCGTATCTGTGGTCTCGTTAGACTATTCTCAGGTGATGCTTTTACATTATCTGTGTATCAATGTGTTTTACTGCCTCATTGAAGCCATAACTGGTTAAACTGGCATCATCAGTTTTCAATTTAATAAAACTCAAAACCTACCATCCCGGCTTGTAATGACCAACCATCTACTTCATCTTTGTCTGTCGAGAACATGGTTGTATTTTACTGTATGTTTGGTTGTTTATTGGTCAAGTGTGTTTAGATTTGTATGTTGTTATACTATATAAATGTGGTAGTAACATTTCAGGTATTTTCTGTGGTTTTTGTCTGTGAGAGTCTGGAAGGTTATATTTTGACTGTAGAGTTTCATTCTGACTGTATTGCTGTATTTGTACTCTGACACTGAGACACAGCTGTTCACAACTCACTGTAACTGAGACACAGCTGTCCACAACTCACTGTAACTGAGACACAGCTGTTCACAAATCACTGTAACTGAGACACAGCTGTCCACAACTCACTGTAACTGAGACACAGCAGTTCACAACTCACTGTAACTGAGACACAGCTGTTCACAACTCACTGTAACTGAGACACAGCTGTCCACAACTCACTGTAACTGAGACACAGCAGTTCACAACTCACTGTAACTGAGACACAGCTGTTCACAACTCACTGTAACTGAGACACAGCTGTCCACAACTCACTGTAACTGAGACACAGCTGTTCACAACTCACTGTAACTGAGACACAGCTGTTCACAACTCACTGTAACTGAGACACAGCTGTTCACAACTCACTGTATGATTGTTGTTGTACATGTCTTCTTCATACTTTGACCGTATTGCTCCCTTTTCTTGGCCTTTAATAATTGTCCCGTGACGTGAGTACTCGACATAATTCTCCTGCAAACAGAAAAACAATGTATTTTTATTTTACACAAGACAAATAAAGGGTATTACTCTCCTCTTCCACATCTCTACCTAGCCATATCTTCCATTAAATGTCGTACCTGTCAACTGTCAGAAATTAAAATGCATGTGAAAAGTGTACAAACATTTTTTTCATCATTTATATCACTTTTTGACTAACAAAGTAGAGTGTTGTATTTAATTTTATTAAACATTAAATAAAGTATAGAAACACTATACATATAAACTACTTCAAAAGTTAAAATTAGATAAATCATAACCAGAAGCAGTTGTAAGAACTTATCAGAGGCGAGGACTTGCTGTAAGGTGAAGCTAATTTACGGATACTGGTATCTGTATATGTATATTATCATCATCCTGTAACTCATCAACTCTCACATACAGTTTGTGCCAGCAGCAGCTGTTTAGAGGGCGCCTCCAAGTGTTCCTCTCCACCATACTTGGCCAGGATACTATCCTTGGCGGTAGTCTTGAAAGTGTCCTTGCGTTTGTCCACCTCCTTGGACAACAGCTCAAGTTTGGTAGGATCAGCCTGGAGGTGGACTTCAGTTCCACTCTCATATGCATCCCATGCAAATACTGTATACATAATCAATGTTATTAGTCAGACACTACACATTTCTACAGTAAAAAAATTAACACTAGAAAGGGTTTTTTCATCAAAGTGAAGAAAGATGGTAGTTTTCTTTTCACAAGAAAGTTTACAGTCATTAGCATTGAATTAAACCTTCATGCATTGATATTCAAATGATACCATACAATCTTACTCACCTTGCTTTTTGGAGAATTCATGAGCATCACCAGAGAACCGTACAAAGTTATCCCCAGTAAATTTAACCCTTCAAGAATAAATAGTCTTCATTGTACAATTTTCACACAAAGTTAAAACTGACAGAATTTAAAGAAATTTTTATCTGTCGCCAAAACACACATTATGATGCTGTAACTTTAAATTTGTTTTAGATCAAAAATAAAATACTTGATATTAAACATTTTTTCTAAGTTCAAAAGTTTCCATTTTCCATCAGGTTTCAGGGCAATAACACTACTAATGCAAAATGTCTGTAGAAAAAAAAGAAATTTAAAATTATAAAAGTTTTGTCATTTTTTGGTCATCAGTCCAACAGAAACCCAAAGTCATCTGTGGGGTCTAGAATCACTATTTTTTAACCTCAACTTTTAAAACTTTGATGAATAATAAGAGTGGCTGTTAATACTTACTCAGATTGGTCACGACTTGTATTTTCAAATGGGTTCTGTCGCATGGATCTCGTTTTGGGATCATAGAAGGCTGAGTTTGGATCTAAGTTGTAGAGATACTACAAAGTAGCAAGAATAAACATAAAAACCTTTATAGCTGTGATCTCAGCGAGTCACAAAAGACAAAACTGAAGACATCCTAGATTTTAGAGAAAAGGTAGTCCATTATGAACATGAGCAAGTTAAAAAGGACAATGTACTTATGAATTTCTGACAATATAATACAATCCTTTCTTTTTTGTTTCTCAGTAAAATTAAACTTGACTACAAAATCCTGTTAAACCTCATTTGTACACATCACAAAACACTGACTTGTGCTGGCCATAGTTATACCTCAATGCATACACTTACATCAAACTTTATGCAAAAATATTATACTACATTTGTATAATGTTTTGAATACAAATGTACATTCTTGTATGTACAAGACATATGCTTGAATTTCATTTGAAGAGGATTGTGGAAAAAAAACATGAATTATTTTGTATGTAATTCAACCCCTAATTAAAACAGAATATTTTGTATGTGGTCAAACTTCGTATCTAAACATATTTTGTATTCTTTTGAAACTCAAATTTGAGTATATTTTCAAATAAGCTAACCTTAGCTGTGTCTTCACGAATACGGAGATTCCTGACAGTAATTCGCTGTTTAGTTTCAAACTTTTGTCCAGGCATGTCTACATCATCAGCATACTTATCCTCATCCTCGCTGTTGTTAGCCCTGACTTCCCGCTCCTCCCCTTCCTGTGCTTTGAAGGAAGCATCAAGTTTCTCCTCTTTCAACATACGTTTTGCCTGCAGATCACAAATACAAGAATTACAACCAAATAATGTCCACATCTTCCTTGACCTGGATGATAAATATAACAAACAGATATAGTAGTCTTCCTTTAACAAAATGTACATCATACCTCCTCTACCCTGGCCCACTCCTCATGGATCCGCTGGTGGTCATCAGGGTCGTAGCCATTCCATCGGTCCCTCTTCCCACTAAAGTCATGCTCCAGAACTGGCACAATGTGCTCATCTGGAGCAAAATTGTCACCAGAAAACTTAGCACCAACTTTCCTTGGTCTCTAAAGTAGGAAATAAATCAATGATCATTGAAGGTTTTTCTTATGTTGAAGTTGTTTGTTATGTGCAGATTACAGTAGTATTCCACATGAAGTACATGCTTTGATATTAGACATTAACAGGTTAGGGTATTAGACATTAACAGGTTTGAGTATTAGACATTAACAGGTTAGGGTATTAGACATTAACAGGTTTGGGTATTAGACATTAACAGGTTTGGGTATTAACAGGTTTGGGTATTAGACATTAACAGGTTTGGGTATTAGACATTAACAGGTTTGGGTATTAGACATTAACAGGTTTGGGTATTAACAGGTTTGGGTGTTAGACATTAACAGGTTAGGGTATTAGACATTAACAGGTTTGGGTGTTAGACATTAACAGGTTTGGGTATTAGACATTAGGGTATTAGACATTAACAGGTTTGGGTATTAGACATTAACAGGTTTGGGTATTAGACATTAACAGGTTAGGGTGTTAGACATTAACAGGTTTGGGTGTTAGACATTAACAGGTTTGGGTGTTAGACATTAACAGGTTAGGGTACTAGACATTAACAGGTTAGGGTGTTAGACATTAACAGGTTAGGGTACTAGACATTAACAGGTTAGGGTGTTAGACATTAACAGGTTTGGGTGTTAGACATTAACAGGTTTGGGTATTAGACATTAACAGGTTTGGGTATTAACAGGTTTGGGTGTTAGACATTAACAGGTTAGGGTGTTAGACATTAACAGGTTTGGGTGTTAGACATTAACAGGTTTGGGTGTTAGACATTAACAGGTTTGGGTGTTAGACATTAACAGGTTTGGGTATTAGACATTAACAGGTTTGGGTATTAGATATTAACAGGTTAGGGTATTAGACATTAACAGGTTTGGGTATTAGACATTAACAGGTTTGGGTATTAGACATTAACAGGTTTGGGTATTAGATATTAACAGGTTAGGGTATTAGACATTAACAGGTTTGGGTATTAGATATTAACAGGTTAGGGTATTAGACATTAACAGGTTTGGGTATTAGATATTAACAGGTTAGGGTGTTAGACATTAGGGTGTTAGACATTAACAGGTTAGGGTGTTAGACATTAACATGTTAGGGTATTAGACATTAACAGGTTTGGGTATTAGACATTAACAGGTTAGGGTGTTAGACATTAACAGGTTAGGGTGTTAGACATTAACAGGTTTGGGTATTAGACATTAACATGTTAGGGTATTAGACATTAACAGGTTTGGGTATTAGACATTAACAGGTTTGGGTATTAGACATTAACAGGTTTGAGTATTAGACATTAACAGGTTTGGGTATTAGACATTAACAGGTTTGGGTATTAGACATTAACAGGTTTGGGTATTAGACATTAACAGGTTTGGGTATTAGACATTAGGGTATTAGACATTAACAGGTTTGGGTATTAGACATTAACATGTTAGGGTATTAGACATTAACAGGTTTGGGTATTAGACATTAACAGGTTTGGGTATTAGACATTAGGGTATTAGACATTAACAGGTTTGGGTATTAGACATTAACAGGTTTGGGTATTAGACATTAACAGGTTTGGGTATTAGACATTAACAGGTTTGGGTATTAGACATTAACAGGTTAGGGTGTTAGACATTAACAGGTTTGGGTGTTAGACATTAACAGGTTTGGGTGTTAGACATTAACAGGTTAGGGTACTAGACATTAACAGGTTAGGGTGTTAGACATTAACAGGTTTGGGTGTTAGACATTAACAGGTTTGGGTATTAGACATTAACAGGTTAGGGTGTTAGACATTAACAGGTTTGGGTGTTAGACATTAACAGGTTTGGGTATTAGACATTAACAGGTTTGGGTATTAGACATTAACATGTTAGGGTATTAGACATTAACAGGTTTGGGTATTAGACATTAACAGGTTTGGGTATTAGACATTAGGGTATTAGACATTAACAGGTTTGGGTATTAGACATTAACAGGTTTGGGTATTAGACATTAACAGGTTAGGGTGTTAGACATTAACAGGTTTGGGTGTTAGACATTAACAGGTTTGGGTGTTAGACATTAACAGGTTAGGGTACTAGACATTAACAGGTTAGGGTGTTAGACATTAACAGGTTTGGGTGTTAGACATTAACAGGTTTGGGTATTAGACATTAACAGGTTAGGGTGTTAGACATTAACAGGTTAGGGTGTTAGACATTAACAGGTTTGGGTGTTAGACATTAACAGGTTAGGGTACTAGACATTAACAGGTTAGGGTGTTAGACATTAACAGGTTTGGGTGTTAGACATTAACAGGTTTGGGTGTTAGACATTAACAGGTTTGGGTGTTAGACATTAACAGGTTTGGGTATTAGACATTAACAGGTTTGGGTATTAGATATTAACAGGTTAGGGTATTAGACATTAACAGGTTTGGGTATTAGACATTAACAGGTTTGGGTATTAGACATTAACAGGTTTGGGTATTAGATATTAACAGGTTAGGGTATTAGACATTAACAGGTTTGGGTATTAGATATTAACAGGTTAGGGTATTAGACATTAACAGGTTTGGGTATTAGATATTAACAGGTTAGGGTATTAGACATTAGGGTGTTAGACATTAACAGGTTAGGGTGTTAGACATTAACATGTTAGGGTATTAGACATTAACAGGTTTGGGTATTAGACATTAACAGGTTAGGGTGTTAGACATTAACAGGTTAGGGTGTTAGACATTAACAGGTTTGGGTATTAGACATTAACAGGTTTGGGTATTAGACATTAACATGTTAGGGTATTAGACATTAACAGGTTTGGGTATTAGACATTAACAGGTTAGGGTACTAGACATTAACAGGTTTGGGTGTTAGACATTAACAGGTTTGGGTATTAGACATTAACAGGTTTGGGTGTTAGACATTAACAGGTTTGGGTATTAGATATTAACAGGTTAGGGTATTAGACATTAACAGGTTTGGGTATTAGACATTAACAGGTTTGGGTATTAGACATTAACAGGTTTGGGTATTAGATATTAACAGGTTAGGGTATTAGACATTAACAGGTTTGGGTATTAGACATTAACAGGTTAGGGTATTAGACATTAACAGGTTTGGGTATAAGACAAACTTAGTAACTGTGTTGTGTTTTTCGACATTAAGTCATTCATATATGTATCAGATGTGTATATATATATGTAACATAAAAATCAACCACTATGGAATACATTTGTATATATCTATAATTGTAACATACATTTTAATACATTTAGAAGTTATTAGTGTTACAGGTTCAAATGATAACACGAAACCTTTGACGAGTTCCGACCATAATTTACTGCAGAATCGGAAGAGTATGAACTCTGTGTGTGGCACAAAATTCACTGACAAACAGATATGTCTACATATTGACATTGACCGCTCCTTAGTTAGGTAAAATTTTACTAGTTTGTAGGTATTTCAAGATTACGATTACAAAGTGTCCGATCCACCCGTCAGTCAGTCAAACAATGACCGGAATTTACAAAAACCAGGAAATCCAAAGAACCAATAAAATAAGACATAGGACTGTAACGTAAGACAAAATTAAGCTAACCAATGACCACATGACACTATATATAGACGTAAACTAATAAACAAGATTTAACAATTATGGAGACAATACAATTCACATTATATTAAAAGTTAATCCTGCCACATTAATAATTAAAGAAAAGTACAAATCCTGCTAATGGCTTTCATTATGTAATAAAAATTACTATTTACTCAACACAATTTTCTGTTACATAAAATTCTTACCTCAACACAATCTTTCTTTTTATGTGTCATGGCTCCACAGTTTTCACAAGCACCTTTTCTGAATTTTGTTGCAACAGAGCCCTAAGAATAAAACAACGAAGAGTATATCACAAACAGGCATGGAACTTTGTATGCATTACTCAAGTGACAAAACTTAATATATGGATACAACAGGACATATGTTCATGTTGTGATGAAAGAGTATTTATAGATGTTATAATACACTGCAAATCTTGTTACTTTTTCCATGATTTTCAATCGTCTGTGTCCACTTTGATATGCCTATTTTCAGCAAGAAGAAATACTTTTAGATCAGCTGCTTACACATGTAGTATGCATAACATCAGATTCCATGTCCATTTGTTAATGAATTCAAGGAACAAAGTTGTTTTTACCTTAAAACCCTAACTGTTTGTTATATTCCTTAGAGCCCTACCTCTTTTATTCCCTTTTTTTACCAGTTTTCAATGTTTTCTATACTCCTTGTAACCCTACCTCTATATCTCTGTTATAGACCAGTTTTCTTTGTTAGTATATTCTTGTAACCTTCTTCTATATCTCTGTTTTAAACCAGTTTTCCACATTTGCTATATCCCTTATAACCCTACCTCTATGTTTTTTCTCTTCTAGATCAGTTTTCCCTGTTGGCTATATCCTGTATTACCTTATTTCTTTAACGCCCCTTTTTGACCAGTTTTCACTTTTTGCTATATTCCTGGTAACCCTACCTATATTACTCCCTTTTTGACCAGTTTTCACTTTTTGGTATATTCCTGGTAACCCTACCTCTATTACTCCCTTTTTGACCAGTTTTCCTAGTTTAGAATATTCCTTGAGTTTCTCTGGCTGTTGGCGCTGATGTTTGAGTGTAGCTGCCTCTGCTCCAAAGTACCAGGGTGCCTGCATGATGTACTGAGGGATGTGGGGATTGATATCCCTGTAATCACAAAATAAGGACAGAAACAGATTGAGTTATAAAATCCTAATTTAAAAAAAATACAATTACTTCACAAGATAAGTTTTTAAAGTTGAATTATGAAACAAGAAGAAGTAGAAACCTACAACATTCTAGAGTAATATCTATATGTAAATGTATGTATGTGCATAGTTAAGTAAATACTGTAACCACACTTTTTCATCACAATCAAATTTTAGTGTATTATCAGTTAGTGGCAAATTAGCCCAATGATGAATTTGTTAATCCATTATAATTGCTGAATATGTAGTAAGCAGATAACTGAGTAACCCCTAATGTATTTATCATGCAAAATTCCAGGAGGCTAAAACATCTTATGTGCAACATAGTGCTACATTTTTTTACTCTTCCAACCAATCTTGTATCTTAACATGATATTTGGCGCCAAATGACGTTGCAATGATTCAAATGTCTTTCTGACATATAACTGTGAAGGGAGGAAAACCTAACCATATAGAAGAATCTGGAAATTAACCTAGCTGTGAAAGTTTTATGCAATTCTAACAAAATAATGTATGAGAAAAAGAATCCATTACCCATATATGCATGAGGTTGATTTATTTCAGTAGAGGACTGATATTCTGTAACATCTCATTTGCGGCGATGCCGAGAGAACTGAGATAAATTAATCTTGAATACATACAGGTAACAGATTCTATTAATCTAAGACTAAAGTAGAAGGATAAGCTTATTACAGGACCATGCTATAGAAGCTGATGGCATTCCTATTCAATGAAACAGATGTGGGTGGGCTTATAACAAGACCTAAGGTTATGTATGGATGAATACGACAGCATTCTATACTTGTCTTTCATTACTAATCCACTCAAAATTTCAATGATTACAGAGAATACACAAAGTAATTCTACCAACCTGCCCTCCTCATCCTTCATGGCTGGAGCTGTTCCTGCCTTCCTCATCTCCTCCAGCTCCTTTTCCTTTCTCCAATCCTCTCGTGACATTTTCTGTGGCTCATTCTCCTCCATTTTGGCCTTCCTTGCCACCACAGAGGGTGGCAAGTTCAAGCCACCCGTTGCCATGATAAAGGAGAGACTGTAAAAACTGATGTGATTCTTTACTAAAATATCTTTAGTTGATAAAAGATTTGGTTTCTGCAAATGAAAATAAAACAAATGAATCAGATTGCTTCTATATCACAACATACATGTACATGATTAAAACTTTAATAGCATCTATATTACATGAATATATTAGCTAAAGTTTGACTGCATTTCTAAAAATCTGATTCTTGGGAAGCTACATGCTTTTGAATTGGGTAATAACATATAAGTCAGCTATTGACTTCATCAACAGCTATCTGAGTAACATAAAGCAGCAGGTCAGATTGAGGCAAGAGACTTAGCAAATGGGCTGATGTGAAGAAGGAATTCTAGTTATTTTGGTACCAAGTGGTTTTGGCATCCAGTTGTTTTGGTACTTGCGAGATGGTTTACACAGCTAAAGTGTCATTTTCAGTGAACAGTTTTTCAGATACGGAATAAGCAATATTTATTAATGATAAAAAACCTTAAAAACCCTAACTAAATACCTAAATTAAAACATTTTTAATAATGCTGAAACGATTTTTTTTGGACGTACAAAAGCAACCTGGTACCAAATGACTTGCTCCATGAAGAAGGGGTTCCCTAAAGTACCAAATGTCTTGCCCCGTGAAGGGGTTCCATACAGTACCAAATTACTTGCCCCATGAAGAAGGGGTTCCCAACAGAACCAAATGACTTGCTCCGTGAAGAAGGGGTTCCCTAAAGTACCAAATGACTTGCCCCATGAAGAAGGGGTTCCATACAGTACCAAATTACTTGCCCCATGAAGAAGGGGTTCCCAACAGAACCAAATGACTTGCTCCGTGAAGAAGGGGTTCCCTAAAGTACCAAATTACTTGCCCCATGAAGAAGGGGTTCCCTAAAGTACCAAATGACTTGCCCCGTGAAGGGGTTCCCTAAAGTACCAAATGACTTGCCCCATGAAGAAAGGGTTCCATACAGTACCAAATTACTTGCCCCATGAAGAAGGGGTTCCCTAAAGTTCTACTGTAGGACATTTGATATTCAATATTTTCATAATTATTTCATCAATATTGTTTACCTTTGTAGACACAGTTTATATTATCATGCTAATGAATGATAATACGGTCTCAAATATATGTGATATTTTTTATTGGAAAGATTAATGAAAAAAGAGCAAAGTGCTTAAAGACTTATTCAATTTAATGGCATGAAGACCAGACCAATCAAGATAGGTTCCAGCATAAGGAATCCGAAACCAATGCGTCAATGATACATCTACGAAAATTACACGAGAAATATCTTATGTGGCAAACCCACAACTCCTGAACCCGCCTACTATATTTACAATTTCTTACCAATTTATAGTCATTTTATAGTAAACTTCATTGTCCAGATAAGGTGATTCACTCCGTCCGTAGGTAGCGTTGCATTGAACGAACGTAGTTCGAAACGTTGGTACTGGTTCTTTTACTAAGCGTCTGAATAACCTAGACAAAAAACAAAAAATTGTAAAATGAAATTGAATTGGATTTCAATTCCGGATAAGGTGGTGAGGAACATAGGTATATATATATGATGGGAAATTTACGTCTGAAGAAAAATCTAAACAATTAATTATCATTGTTTATTACATATAATATTATTTTTGTTCTAGTAAAGTTTGTAAAAACTGACAATAAATTATATTCATGGTAATCTATTTTGTTCGTTCTAATCAATGACGTATATACATGTTATATACGTCTCTGTTCTAGTCTCTGATTTTTAATTAGGAAATTAATTCGCATCATAACTGAAATAGACACTACTTTATTAATAATTTTAAAGTTTGTATTTTTGAATTTGAAATTTATTTCAATTTTATTTCCGGATATTATATTCCAACATCGATAATTTATAACAGTTTTTTGCATCTTCGTCGTTAGAATGCCTGAAGAAAAAACGTGAGAGAACGAGTGTAACATGCGAAATGCTGTGGCCAGTGTAAACACATACAAGGTGTAGGGAGCATAGGGTACAACTAAACATATGTATCAGGTCAATGTCATATAATTAAAACTAATATGATCATGCTCCGGATAACTTGTTTGAGATGCTTGGATGTAAAACATATCCGCTTCACATGCTTGACCATGCACTCGTCAAGCAATTGGCAAAAATCATGCGTTCATACATCGGTCAGTAACTATAAAACTATCAAAGAAATGAGAGAGCTAAAACGTAATAAAGGCGTTGTGAAGCCTGTCTTTGAAATAGACCATGTGCCATCCTCTGTGAGAGCTGTTCTAGAAAATAGGAAGTTGGAAAATTCTGAGGTGAAAGTAGATGATGGAAAAAAAGAGGAAATGACATTACAGAGACTAAAATCTAACCTCCGGTCTATTCAATGGGACACGAATGCTCTCATTAAAAAAGCAAATGAATCTGCAAAGCATGATGATCACCAAATGTTTAAAAATAACGAAAATCTTGATGGATTCACAGAAACTATTGACCTCGATTTAGATCGACATGCAGCTAAACGCAGAAGGAAAAGCAGACACTCAGAGTCACGGACACAACCAGACCCCAGCATACCAATATCTGATATTCCTTGTAAAGGATGCGGTGCCAATTTGCACTGTCAGCAATCTTCATTAGCAGGCTACATATGCAGCACAAAGATCAAATCATCTACTATTGAAGAGCTCAATGATACTTTATGTGAGAGGTGTTATTTGTTGAGGAGACGGAAGCTGACTCTGAAAGTTGAACTTGATGAGGATCAGTTTCCAAAGCTATTTGAAAAAATACGGTCAGAGAGGTGTCTAGTTCTGCTAGTACTAGATTTACTTGACATACGCAATAGTATTCCTAAAAACATAGTAGATCTAATCGGACCTAAAAAAGATTTATACATCCTAGGTAGTAAAGTTGATATGATTCCAAAAGATGGAAATGGCTTCCTGGAGAGGATAGAATCAGGGCTTCTTGGTGCCTGTATGGAAGCAGGCATAGATGTACATGGAAGTCATGTTCGTCATATTGGTCTAATCAGCAGTGTTACTGGTTATGGCATCGAAAATCTTATCACAAAACTAATGACTGATTGGGAAGTTAAAGGTAATTATATATTTAGCATTTTATTGTAGAATATGGTTTTGTGACAGAACTAAACACTTTGATAAAAGTTTAATCTTTGGTATTAAGTATTTAGTATCTGCATATGTTTATTTGTCAATTCTAATGATGGACAAACTCATCAATTTGTTTGTAAAGTAACATGGTTTAGATCTAAATTTTGAAAAGAAATATTTTGAAAATTCTGACCCATTAATACATATATGACCCATGAAAAAGTTCAAATTGATACCCAGAAGTGATTTATGAATATTTCTGCTTCTCTAGCTTACACATGCATCTCCAATAAGCTTATAATTGATATTGTGATCTTATATCAGAAAATAAAATGTGTGATCTCATCTTTAGGTGTAAAAGTTCAATGGATTTTCTTTTGGCAGTTGAAATAAGAACATTGTTTACAAAAAAACATTAATTCTATATATATAAACTTACTGCATATCTTCTGTCATTGGAACTTTATTCTTTCTCTTATGTCTTCTGTAATTCACCCAACTTGAACAAAATCATGTGTACATGTAAGGGTAGTAATTATTGACTGATCATTGTATTTCCTAGCATGAGTTTTATTCTGAATGTAGATGATAAATATATGACAACAAAATGCTCTTAGTATAATGTGTAGTAATTGATATTTATTTTTTTTTACTGTTGTATACAACATTAACCTTGAGCTAGCTAACACTACAACCTCTCTAACTTATAAGTCAAGGGAATGTGTTTGATATAGGACAATATGGGATTCTTTTTTTTACCAACAAAGAAGATGTGGGTATACGTAGGTCAATTATGACTAGACATATATTTAAACGTGGCATATTATATATGTGAAGATGGTAAGTGCTCGCAGTGTAACAATTATTATAATATCTTCATATTGTTTATATCATATAATATTTAATATCATAATTTGAAACATTTATTCAGTTGCAAAATTAGCAGGTCTATCTGGCTTTTACATAGTGCTAAATACAGACTTTGTCACTGAAGATGATAAAGCATGCTTCATTGGCTCATTGAATTGGTTAAATGTTGGTAGTAGAGGCATGGATTATCACACCAGAGATCCAGGTTTAATTTCTCTTTGGGTTTTTTGGCACAATTGTGTTTCCCCTACTTTGTTACAATGTAAAGATTTTTTTTGATGTTTCAGTTTTCATGGTTACATTGTATATAAAAAAGTTTAAATAAAAAAGATGCATTTTACATAGAAGTTATGAAGTAGACAGTGGTTAACACTATTGTTTTCATTTTCAATATTTTTGTTTTTCATGATTTTATTCTTGCCTGAAAAGATAGAACACCATGAAAATAACAACCTTTACAATGAAGCATATATTTTGTTGGCAAATTTATCTGTTTCATATCACAGTTTCCCATTTAAAAACTGTAACTATATACTTTGAATGAATCTTTTAAAAAATGTAGCTCTCACTGCAGTTTGATGCATTTCATTTCAGGAAATGTTTATTTGGTTGGTCATATGAATGCAGGAAAATCAACGTTGTTCAATGCGCTGTTACGGTCTGATTACTGTAAATTTTCTGCCCGGAGTGGAATTCCAAGAGCCACTGTAGCTGATTGGCCAGGTAATGGATTCAGTTGAAATTTAAAGGAAATTTTAGTAACTGTGTATTACTGATATATGAACATACCAAAAAGGGTCAAATTGATTGAAACCTCAAAAATCTTTTTCTCAAATCCCAGGTATTGTAAAATCAAGTACTCTTCATGGATTGAAAGGCCTTCAGATGCTTTACCAAAATTGTAAATTTCATGACCACAGTGTCTCAAATTTCCCTCTGTGGTGGAGGTAAATTTACTATAGGAAAATTACATTTTTGAACATTATTTGTTTATTTTCTATTGGAAAAAGTTCAAATCTGGTTAGAATTATTATTAGTTTAAGATCACAGTTTAATGATATGCACATATTGGCCTCAACTGACCCCCAGGGGCAGTTAATATTTGGATGAAAAATGGGTCAAATAGACTTAAAATTTCAAAAATCTTCTCTTCAATAGCCAGATACTGTAGAACCAAATACCCCATCCCCCAATAAGTCTAAGTTCTTTCAAGCCAAACTAAGTAAAACTTCACAATATGACATGCTTGGTATTGCTTTTTGATGTGAACGATCAAGGGTCACTGATACTATCAATAAAAGATTTGTTTCCACTCTATAAGTTTGAGTCCCTTATGCTGTTTTAACTCAAACTTTACACACTACTTTCTTTTACCAGTGTGTGTGTTATATTTTTTTATTGATTTTCAAGTTAAAATGTTAATTTAGGTCAGTGTCACTGTTACTGTCAGCAGAAAATGAATTTACAACAATCTGAAATTTGTTTAATAGCTTAAGTGACACTGGACTGATCAATCTCAAAAATTACAAATCAAACATATCAATCGTCCGATCAGGATGAGCATTTTTCAGCGATACATTTTTTCCCATCCTATTACATTGTGTATCACTTTGAGATCAACAAACAAATGCTTCATTATTCCCTGCAGGAACAACAGCAAATATTCTCAAATTTCCCATTACCCGCCCAATGGGATGGAAGCTGGCCAAGCGTGCTGAACGGTTCGGTAAACACAGAAGTGTATATCAAAAGGAACTTGAGCTAAGGCGTTCAAAGGCCAAGGAAGGCAACTGGAAGTACGCTTCACTGGCAGGTAGGAATATGTCAGTCTTTATCCTGGCTATAATGAGTTTTCTTTTTATTAGTACATGTACCAGGTAGATGTAAGATAAAAACATTTGAATCCAGAAATGTTGCAGACATACATGTAATTCATGATTAAAGAAACATGCTACATGTACAAAGCTTTCAGAATACAGCTGTGTTTTGTAACTAGCTAATACATTCTTGGAAATCACAAAATTTGGACCATCGTTTTACAACAATTATAAATAGAGTAAAATGATATCCAAATCATGTGAATGACAGCCAGTGTAAAGGCATTAATAATGGGTAGGTCAGTGTTCGAACAATTCTGATAAATTGTCAGATATGTAACAGAGATAATAAAGTGCTGTATAATGCTTTCACAAGAGTTAAAACCTGGGAATTACAGCACACTGCTTCCTATTTATCCTGTAATAAGGCCATTAGTACAGAACACCAAGGCCAACACATCACATCTGACTCAAAGTAAAGGAGTGGGGTTATTACAGGATTTCAGGAGCCAACACATTACATATTACTCAAAGTTGAAGAATGGGGTTATTAAAAGACCTCAGATTGGCTCAAACATTGCATCTGACTCAGAGTAATGGAGTAAGGTAATTACAGGACTTCAGGGGCCTACAAGTTACTTCTGACTCAATGTCAGGGATAGGCTTATTAGAGGTCCCCAGGGGCCAACACGTTACTTCTGACTCAATGTCAGGGATAGGCTTATTACAGGTCCCCAGGGGGGCAATTCATTACCTTTGACTCAAAGTCGGAGAGTTGGTTTATTCCCAACCTCAGCGGCCAACACATTACTTCTGACTCAAAGTTAAGGAATAGGCTTACAACAGTTCCCCAGGAGGCAACAAATTACTTCTGACTCAAAGTTACAGAGTTGGGTTAATACAGGACCCCAGGAGGCCAACACATTACTTCATTACTGGACACTTAAACAGTATTTGTCACATATGTAATGCTGAGAGAACAAAGAAAGTTGTTTGTTTATGTTGCAATACAAATAAAGAACAATTGTTTTGACAGATATGGTGGCCACTACAGATTTCCGAGAGGATAGGGATATAGAGGAAGCTTATAGAGAGCTAGACCAGTATAAAGGCCATGATTCTGCTATGTATGAGTACTCCAAGAATAAAATACTTGTCAAGAAAAAAGATCTACCTGTCAAGGAAAAGACGCAGTTTGACATTAAGAAGTATGAAAGATCTACATGGCTGTGTGATACCCCAGGAATCAAAAATACAGAGTCGGTAGGTAACGTCAACAGGATTGTTTTAAATGGTTACTCATTACTGTGATCATGGTTTTGTTTTATGTTAGAGGTATCCCCAGTTCACACTTCAACATTTACCACAAATACATTTTTACGGAAGCTGATTTATACATCTTTGCCAGAAGAGAAATTACTTGTGAAATTGTGAAAATGTTTGTAAATCCCCTTAAGTTGTTACTACATATTAAAGATAAAAATCTGTTGGAACTTCTGGAGTTTAGGGCCAAAGACAAATTTGTTTTGTCTTTTGTGTTGTAGTTGCTGACATATCTACAGCCAGATGAACTCAGTGTCATCATTCCTGCCAATATAATGATGCCACGTCCCTTCCTTCTCAAACCCGGAGAAGTTATATTTGTGACAGGGTTGGGGAGAGTCGACTACCTTGAGGTGACCATGACAAATGATTTACAAGTCTCCTTATAAAAATCAATAAATTCCATGTGTGAAATGAGATAAAGTGTTAGTGTTTGTAACATGATTGTATGTACGTGAAGTATTCTATGAAGAAATGCTAAACAATTGGAATATATGAGTAACCCATTATGAAGTAATTGTGTTTAGCAATAACAACATACTCAAGTGTCAGCAATGAGTTGGGCCTTTTGATTATTGACTGCATTGTTTCACTTTAAAATAAATAATTTTGTCATTTGTTCCTCCCATAAGTACTAAAAATGGGGTTCTACTTTATATGACATCATCGGTAACCAGTAAACACAAGTAATTCATTACCTGACTATATGAGATTTTAATGATATATGAGGTGTCTGGATTTTCAATTATTTCAATTTCTCATTGTAACATCTGACATAAGTATGTCTTGCACAACCAAAACAAAGATATGTTTGATTTGGAAAGAGACATTAACCGTATACTAGTGTTCAAATATCATCTAAAAACCTTTCCTCCTTCAGGGAAATTCTCCTGTGTTGATCACAACATTTGTGAACTCCAGGCTGCCAGTGATTGACTGTACATTAGCTGAAGCAGACAAAATATATCAGGAAAATATCGGCAAAGACATGTTCATGGTGAGTATAAGTGGAGAAGGAAATCTTATCACAGTTAACACAATAGAAAATAGATCTCATGGTTTATACTTTTGAACGGCAGTACACCACATTGTTTGTATCTTAATGACTAAACAAATGTTATTTGTTAAATGTATTTTGTCTTGTACCACTGTGTTGTTCTGTTTTGGATTTAAATAGGTTCTGCCTGGTGCCCAATCCTTTCATAAATGAAATGCCACTATATGACTAGATATATAACTTAGATAGGAGGATGAAATAAAGTACTGATAATTGTATCGAAGGCAACACCAAATATGACATCTTTATAGAATAGTGACAGTACACCATTAAAATGGCTGTTACATCAGGCAGATTGCACCATCAATAACTTTTTATTTTAGTATTAATCATGCTCAAATCTGCATATGACAGTAACATGTAAAGGGAATGTAGATATAAGCCTTTTTATGACATTTATGGATGATATAAATGACAAGAAATTTGCAGCCAAAGGCACCATAATGCACATGGTGCTAGTGCACAATACACAATAATGTATATGATATTTTGCTGCAAAGCTGTGTCATTTAAAACAACTACAGTTGATATAACCTGAAAGTTTAATGCTTACTATACTGAAAGAATAAAGAAACACAACTTCTTTAATAGTAAAATATTTTGTATTGAATGTACTCAGCCTTTGAAAAAGTAAGATTTTTTTTTATATTTTATTTTGAAATAATTGAACATATACATACATATACATAGAGCAAAGACAATAATATATACTGAATTCTCACTATGATTCACACCTACAGATACATCCTGTCTCACACACATATATATACATATACACATCCACACAGTTATTGACATCCTTACTGAAGCAAGATTCATTCTTTTCAATTTTGTTTATACCCATGCTACTTGCGCAGACACATTTGCATAAAGAAAAAATAAAGCCAATATGTGTAGTGGCATCACAGAGAGTGTCTTCCAGACACTCGTGTTTTGAAGCAAAACAGATTTGGGGAATAATTTGCCATGGTTTAAAGACACTTTTAGTGATCATTAATGGGAATTAAACGGCAATCTCATATCAAGATAGACCCTTTGGCCTCAGGCTCATGTTGTGCCTTTTATTATAAGGCGCTATTCGACCTTTCAGCATGATAATGCTAGACGACACGTTTCAAGTGTTTGTAGGGACTTTCTGACATCCCAGAACATTGTCCCTATTGGTTGACCTTCATATAGCCCCAATTTGTCTACAATCGCGCACTGAAGCTTTTGGGATGAATTAGATGGGAGAGTGCGGAATCAAGCAAACATCCCAAACAACCTCCACCAATTGGCCAATATACTTACTGAGGTATTGAATAACATTCCTCTGTGGACAGTCAATGTCCTTATTAACTCTATGCCTCATGGAATTGGAGATACTATAGCTATTCAGGGTGGGCACACACAATATCAGGGATGGTCCTGATAACTGCCATTATTTCAACTGTGAACATTAGGGTATCCTAATTCATGGTGGACTAATGAAGTCCTCATTTGTTATAAATCTCAAAAAAATTTGAAGACAGATTGTCCAATATCCAAAGTTAACTATTGCATTTTACATTTAGCCATATTGCTCATATATATTGTATCATTTAACCATAAAGTTGAAGTTGCATGTGTTTTTTCGTAGCATTTATACTTGAAAGCATCACTATTGTTGTATATATTTGAATGTTTTTTTTAATTTGCTGGAATATTTTATTATTCACAGGTGCCAATTGGTGACCAGAATCGTCTAAATGAAATACCAGCTTTGGTTGGTAAAGAATTCACAGTTCAGAGAAGTGATTACATGACAGCAGCCGCAGACATACAGATGTCATCTCTTGGTACATCTCTTTGTTCAACCTTTCATTTCAGTCTAGTCATTTGGGGCTGAAGGGACAAGTGTACCCATTCATTAGAGTATTGTCTGTTCTACTTACTATGTGTAACATTTGTTCTAGTTTCTTTCTGCTCGTACATCAAACTGTTAATTGTATTGTCCTAAGAAAAGACATTTAAGAATTTTACATCAAGTGGTGAAAATATTTACCTATATATAGCATGTAGAATTGTCCTTAAAACATCTACTGGTTGATTACAACTACCGGTGTTAGTAAATTATAGCCGAGGACTACCTAGTCAATTTTTACAGTTGAAGTTTATTATCGCAGTTTACTTGAAGGATATTTTTCAAACTTGATGCGTTTGCTCCCCGTAGTCCATAGTTGTGCCCATTTAATTTTGAGACTGATTAGTGAAAAAAAATAGCTGATAGTCAATTCAGTGAAATAAATGGCCAACTGGCAGCCATTTTAGATTTCGACAGTTTAAGATTTTGATTGCTATTTCTTGAGAAATATTGAAAAGATGTTTTTCAAACTTGATATATAGGTTCCCCTTGATCATTAGGAAAAAGAAAAAGTAAAGAAAAGATTAGTTGTAGATAGAACCAATAATGGTCATTGGTGATAGCAAAAGCTGTCTGGGATCTCTTGTTATAGTTTCTTTGCTGTTATCACCTGTGTGACACCTTCACTCCTGTGGGTTTCTTATTTTAAGATTTTGGTAGCTGAATAATATAACCAGACACTCAATATTCTGTAATCTATGTTGTTTCTACAGGTTGGATATCAGTGACTGTACTATTCGGTAATGAGGGTGATGAAGCTAAAGTGAAAGTTTACACTCCAGGAGGAAAAGGACTTTATATACGTTGTCCTTCCCTGCTTCCTAACACCCACACATTCAAGGGGACCCGGATCAACCATACCCGGAGATATCGGAGGCGCAAACCACTTGTGTGATACTGTATACAAGTGTTGTAAGACTTTATCACTGTCCTTCAGAAAGATATAGTTGAAAGGTGTTATGCAAAATGGCATCAGTAGTGTGAAATCTACTGAACTTGATGCTGTCTAAGTTACATTTTGTTGTGGAGATGTATGGAACAGTTACCCTGTTATATAGCAGAATGTGAGCCCATCCGTGTCTTTAAGTCTAAAGGTTATTTCCATCCAGTATCAATCTGTATCATTGTGCTGACCTATAAGGACTCTACAAAGTAGATTGTATACAACTCTTGACGTTCATGATGATGAAATGATTTGACCTAAACAATCTCCACAAGACCAATTCAGGCACTAAGTGATTATGAACAACATAACAACTTCATACTTTATTATCTTCAACATCTCCTCCAAATAAATTTTCTTTTTTACTTTCCAGAAGAATGACTCACAATGTTCAGAACATTAAAATCATTCTGATATACAAGTATACATCACTAGTATGATACGCTATGATAGGACATTGGAGTTACCTCCCCTTACCTGAAAGCCATTAAGTTAACAAAAGAAAATTCTTTCTTTTTTTTAAATGAATGCAGTTACTGGTCTGATTTTATGTAATGTATTGCTTTTTATTTTGAGTTGAACTTGAGATTGTACCTTGAAACTGATCATGCAGTTTATGAAAATTTAAGTAGAAGCCAACAACTATTGTGTAATTTTTCATTTTCGTAGGGTTTTCAATTTCATTTTTAATATGAATATGCTTTTTCATTCTATTTTGTGGATAAATCTAGAGCTTGAAATCCACTAGTAATATAATCTCATTTTTTTTTTGTTGACATAGAAAATTATCGATTAAGTTTACCCACAATTTTAACAAAACCCAATGAAAATGATTGATTTTACAATAATCATTTAAAAAAGTTAATCAAACGGAGTCTAACTATTGGTGTGAATTCTTCAAACAGAGCTGTAGGTTTTATAATGAAAGTTTATTTAACTTCATGGATTTAAGTCATTCCTGTATATGATCATGATAAGAATCATATACATGTATTTGGTATTGAGGATATCTGAATTGTTACATGTATATTTACTGTTGAGAAATATAAATTCATGCTGTGATTTTAGTAAAGACATGTTCATTTACTATTTAATGTCAAACTTTATGACAAGAAAGAAACTGTATGAGAACTTACTGCATTGAAATAAAATGGAGTATTTAAGGAAGAACAAGTGTTTAACAATTCTTACACACCCATCAAATTTTAACATATGTAATGTGGTATATTAACTGTGTTCATCTGTCCGTGAAACATGAAAGACAACTTGCAGTTGTATTATCATATGCTGCCTTTAAAATTAAAATTAAATTGATTTTATTTGCCCTTATTTTTCCCAGCTTATTCAGATGGTGGGCTGTCCAAATTTCTCTCAGCATCCACATTCTGTCTTTCTGTCTTAAAAAATGTTATTATTTTTAATGACCACTGGATATACACATGAATCTTTATAGGTTGTTTGACCTATAGTCACCAATGCCACCGTCTTGAAAAAAAAACATTTTGAATTTCTCTCGCTTCATTGATCCGAAAGTTGATGGGAAAGAAATCCAATACAGTATTTTCAATTTTTTTTTGTCTCATTAAAAGTTCAACATGGTAGCCATGGTGGCCTGAGATGTTTTGGACCAAGTGTCTCTATTTCAGGACTGATCGGAAATTCAATGAGATGGCAGTCATGGATGACACCTTGAAAAAACATATTTAACTTTCTTCAGCTGAAAATTTTAGGGACGTGTAGCAACCAAAATTTGTAACCTTAACTGCTTAAATCTTCAGAATTGTTGTAAAAAGACTATTTAGGCTACCACTTCTGCTGTTATATGTACGCAAAACGCAGCTTTGTGATTTGCTGATTTTTTCCTTTTCATCTTTGGCAGAAAAAACAATCTAGCTCTGCCCACTTGATAATGATTTGAGGAGTTAACGGAAACTTACCACCTTGAGACATTTGTTAGAACATTGTTTTGTATGTTTGGATTGTTTATATACATTCATTTGGATTGTGGATCACTGTCATGCAAATTAGCTGTCAATGACATCACATCATGTTACCCAAGCTGTTTAGCATAGTGATTTGTTATAAAATAATCCTTCATCAAATTATAAAGTTTATACATTAATGTGTTATTCTTGTTTTCAGAACCTATCTAAGATATTAGATTGGACCTTTCAGAGAAATGTTTTTGAAGTTTCATGCTGGTATGAAAGAATAACATTTTTACAGGCCTATCAAGAATATACTAAGTGCATTCATTCAAAGATAAAATGAGTCAAATGACTGTTAAGACCTGTGTGCCTCCTGTTTCAAATTTCACAAAAGTGTTCTCCTTGGTCCCTGTTTATGCCTTTTAAGTTTTTAGACTGATCAGGAAAAGAATATAGCTCAGAGAGATTGGCTGCCATGTTGGATTTTTACGAAGTTTTTCAGACAATTTGACCTGGATAGTGTATATAGGAATTGTCTTTGACCTGGTTTGATTGTAACTCATTTGGTGAGATTAATAAAGATCACTGTCAGTTGAGATTATAGTGTCCGGTTGGAGCTAAGAAGTCCTATTCCATATACCCCACCCCCATCCCCGCAGTAAATGTAGGTATATTTCTTTTGTAAATTGTTGTGTTTTTAAGAACAGAGACATAGAAAAAGGAGGGGAGTTATGTAGTGGAACTGGACTGGGTCGATTGTCACTGATCAGAAAGCTCAACACCAATTGGTAGCACATCTGTCTAGCATTCAGAGGGTCCCAGGTGTGAACCCATGTTTAGTCCTGCATTTATCATCCCGTTACATTCAGGTTCCAATGTAAAACTGGTCTAGGATTTAAATGGTGTACTTCTATTTCATTGGATTGAAAATATTGTCGTTATATGAGTGCCTCAGAAAATGTTCACTTTCAATAAGCATGAGAAAATATTGTCCTGGTAAAAATTACTACAATTAAAAGTTCAATTGTATATAAGAATTAATTTGGGAAAATCTAGTCTCATAGACTAACACATGACATGTATAGTAATATGTGCAGTGTTGCGCTCTTTGTAGTTGTCCTGTTTAAATGATTTTTGTATGAGAAAATATTGAGAAAAATACTCTACTAGGCCTAACAGCACGATAATATTATCGGTTCGCATGATGACCAGTTTACGCGTTTTTGTGTTGCATTATGGGATCGCTAGATACCGGAAGTTATTCGTTACCTACGAAAACAAACTCACAAAAACTTCAGTTAGGTCAAGCATGTGGCACATCTGAAGGACCAGTAGGAATCGGAGCGTGAAAAGCTTTTAATCAAAACTTGACGAATCTATTTCGAACTCTCGTTATCATGAATTTTTTGTTATTATTAGGCGAAATGTTATAATATGTGCCTGTCGTGCATTTTCTGACCGATATCTCTGTTGCTGAATACGATTCGTCTGTAGCAAGAATCCATCATTCTACCCTACAATTCATTTACACTTAAGGCAATGAATTCGACAGAAGAACAACTAAAAAGTTTATATGAATGGATAGATTCAATACCGCTATCTAAACCAAAGAGAAAGATAGAACGGGATTTCGCTGACGGAGGTAAGTAATGCTGATAAGAATAGTTCGTAGAATAAAGCCCAAATCCCCCAAGGATTGACATGCATTATCGCCTTGCCAAAATGTCTACTATCTAGGAAAAAAGCTGAGGAAAAGTAGGAATGAAATGCATGTGATATACTCTCATATCATTCTGTCGATACTGAAATATGCAAACGCGACTAATTATTAAATTGTCATGCAAGAGGTTTGGTTTATTGAAAAAAGAATGCTTCCAATTTTATTTACTCGCACGGAAATTAATTTTTTGAGAACATTCATAAACTACTCATTATCTCTAACCATGCATCTGGAGCCAAGATACATTTCAGCTGGCTAAGTCCTTCTTAAAGAAAAATTAGCCAAGTTAATACAACATTACATTGTTATCATCTTTATGTACTTTTTTGTGTAATCTTTTTATAATCTCATCACACTATTTTTACAGCAGTGTTTAGCTCCCCCGAAACCCCCCCCCCCCCCCCCCCCCCCCCCCCCCCCAAATTTTTTTTTTTTTTTTAAATGGTAGATACATCAGTGTAGCTACATACGCTTCACAGTGATCATTTGTCCCATGAATGTGAAGTGATAAGAATTGTTATCTATTCAGGCTCTTTTTCTGTACTTCAAAGTTTTAGCAATAGAAATATGGAAAATATTTTGATTTGTAATACTATATCATGAACTTGCCTTGAACTTTCATATTGTTTTGCTGGGTTCCTAGGCACATGGGAATACCAGGCAATGAAAAAGCAGATCATGCTGCAATGGCAGCTTTATCGCTACCACCTGTTGTTTTTAAACTTCATTTTACTGATTTTAAACTATTTATCAAGCAATTTTTTACAGCTCAGTGGCAGGAGGAATGGAATCAATATACCCATAATAAATTGCACTCAGTAAAACCTATCATCGGTGAATGCTATAGAGACAATCACTGAGACAAAGTTGTCCTTTCCTGTCTTTGGATTTGCCATACATACCTCACACATTCATTTATGTTGAAAGGCAAAGATAATCCTCGGTGCATAGGATGTGATGAGCCATTCACCGTTAATTTTTTTATTGTACTGCATTGACCTTCTGTCTACTTGATAGTTTTTTTTATTGTAATGTTACAAAATCCATTTCGAAACTAATGAGATTTATAAAATTCTAGGTTATCTGAAAGATGTTGATCTATATTATAGACTATAAGTTACCATTTTAATCTTTTGTGAAAATATAACCATTTAAGATTTTGAGCATTTGTCTTTTACCTTTCTGTTTGTTATTTCCTTTATGGATCGCTGCAGGTTACACCAGTAGATGGCCCTAATGACCTTTTATGTGTTGACAGGCCATTGAGATTATAATAATAATAATTTTAATTCATTCCAAAGGACAATATATCAAGAGATCCCAAGGAGATCTTAATGTCAATCATTGTTTGGCCTGTATATATTATTTTAAAGTTTGATTTTTTGTTTTCTATTCTTTCCTCTGCTTTTGTTCTAAATTTTGTAAAATTTGAACTCTTTAACAAATAGTGATTATAAATAATCTTCAACTCTCAAATATAAGATGGGTTGCCTTTCAGCCAGTTTGTTCGCTTGTTAATCAAACAGTATATCATTTGTAATTTATAAGTTTTCAGATGAAAACCTGAACCCTGTCATATTCCTATGGTTACGACACTTAATGGGTCGTAGCAGAGGCCCTATGGACCTTTTGAATTTTTTTTAATCCTATTTCATGGGTAGTGACTCAAGGTGCTACAAATACAACCCATTTTTATTTAGTTTGATGCGGGGGCAAAAATTCCATTGTTCCTAAAAAAGATCCTTTCATATATTAAGAGCATGGCATAGAAAGAAAAGGTAAAGGATATGATTTTTAAAGAATAAATCAAGATCATACAATGGTTGGCACCAAAATCCCTCTGCAATCTCTTGGTCCTATATATTATAAAATCTTGTTTTGGCAATCCTTATTAAATATAAGGCCCGCCAACAATACCTTGACTCTTTATTTTGACTTTTTTCAATAGCAAATCTGTAAAACAAATTCATTAGTTGCAAAATTTACTTGTAGTAATTTGAGATACTTTGCAAAAAGTAACTTTGTACAATAAAATCCATACAAATTTGGTATTAATCAATTAAAACAAAAGATGTATGTTTTGATAAGATCCAAGAATGCCACATTGGATGGCATTATGTGGAGAATAGTTAAAACTCTTAGATGTAACCCAGGGAAGGTAATTTGAAATACCTGCTACACTATATAACCAGATGCATGTATTGTATTGGAATTTTTCAGATGTTTTGTAAATGTACTCAAATTTTCCTTGCTAATTAATGTTTTCCCCCCAATTTTAGTGTTAATTGCTGAGATCCTGTGGTCTTATTTTCCAAAACTTGTGGAATTGCACAACTTCTCTTCAGTCAGTAAAACTGATGATAAAGTGAAAAATTGGCATCTTTTAAACAGGTATCTGATGTTAACCTTGTGTGTAATTAGTATTCACACTCACTGGTGCATGTTTTATACTGACCTCTTCTGCAGTGATTTACGCTTAAAGAAATAGGTGAAAAAATGTATGTTTGGTGCTCTTATAGTATACTTACTAATGACTAGAAAGGGTGAAATTTTATCATAGTTTTGCAATCCATAACTTTCCAATATATTTTTTACTTAAATTATTTAAATTGATGATCTACTAGCTTGTCTTAAGAAGTTAATTTTGATGTTTTCCATGAATTTGGAAGTTAAAAAGGATAAACCTTAAAATGGCAAATTTGGAATTTCTTTCTTTGGGTGTGCCCTGTGAAGTCTGCATTTTACAGCTGAATATACTTTTATTTGCTGTTTAAGATTTGTATTCACTTTTGACTGTAGCATGTAATCAACTAGTTTTATATATTATTATACACTGTGTATTTTGGCACATTATCATTCGTTCACCACAAATTTTGTAGGGATATAGCAATGCTCCCATATGTACAATACTTAAGACTTCATATCCTTGTCAGCAGTCTAGTTGATTCAGTCCTTGTGGGATTTTGATAGACTTCATATCGCATTATAAAGGTCCATTATATCTCAGATGAGTGTGAAAATCATCGTTCTAGGGTCAAGGTCATCTTTGAGAGTTTGAATTTCAGAGTTTTATGGTAAAGGTCATCATTACTATTTTTAGAAAATCTCTGTCAGAACTTAAGTTGCCTCAATCCTTAAGGGGTAAAGGTCAAACTTCAGACGATTGCCCATCTTTTTTTATTTGGTTTCAGTCAAGGGGATTTGTGACATTGTGATGCCTTGTTTTGGTAGTTACAAACTTTTGTGAAAGTGAAGTGTGTAAATCATTGTTTGATGAAAAAAAAATTAGGATTTATGATAGAAATGTTTAACAATCCGAATTTTCTGTAAACAATCCAGAAGTTAATTGTTTAATATGTAAGTATTGTGATTTACATGTGGAAAGCCTTTCAAAAATTTTAAGTCTAGAATATGAATATGAAGTTATACAAATATAAATTTAAGCACAAATTTTATCCCTTTTGAAGTTATATAATATTCTAAACAGGTACATTTAAATATTGAATGGTTTAATCTTGCTTTGCAAATAAAATTTAATTTTTGTCATTATTAGTACAGAGCATGATAGCACTTTTCAAATAAGGTAGAATTGGTAGATCAAATATTTCTCAGTATTCAATGTTAAAAATAGCCAGACCTTTCTTCTTTGTTTTTTTGCCAAGTATTTAGTGATCGAGTTTGATCCTGCCTTAATACTATATGTGTCAGTTATTATTGTGTGTATGTTCTATAGGTAAGGTCAAATTGATAAAATCTGCAATACTTGCTGTCCATAGATGACATCAGATACTTTTACTGTACAAGGGTAGAGATCCCATGGTCTGGTGTCTATTTCAGTTATGGATTATTGAGTCTAGATTGCATTGAGTGTTGTTAGATATGTATTGATTACTCCCAATTTGATATTCATATTCTGTACAGAATCTCTAAAGCTTTCACACCTGTCTGATAATGTTTCATTGGGTCCAATCAAAAATTAATGAAACAAAAACAAGATAACAAAAATTTAAAAAAAAACTTTTTTCAATCATCTAAAAACTGAAAAAGTTTTTTGTTTATGTGTGTGTTTTAATCTAGGATGAAATAACTAGAAGTGAAAATATTAATCAAAGGTGAATACTTTTATAAACCAAAAAGTTTAGATATGAATAAAATAGGTCCTCAATCCATAACATGATGAGTTGTATTCAATACATGTCCTGAGGTATTATCCTGAATCTGAGACCTGTTATGTTGTCCTGAATCCATGACCTTATGTGTTGTCCTAAATCCATGACCTGATGTGTTGTCCTAAATCCATGACCTGATGTGTTGTCCTAAATCCATGACCTTATGTGTTGTCCTAAATCCATGACCTGATGTGTTGTCCTAAATCCATGACCTGATGTGTTGTCCTAAATCCATGACCTGATGTGTTGTCCTAAATCCATGACCTGATGTGTTGTCCTAAATCCATGACCTTATGTGTTGTCCTAAATCCATGACCTGATGTGTTGTCCTAAATCCATGACCTGATGTGTTGTCCTAAATCCATGACCTGATGTGTTGTCCTAAATCCATGACCTGATGCGTTGTCCTAAATCCATGACATGGTGTTAAGTCGTCAATTCATGACATCATTTGTTGTCACCAATCCATGACCTAATATGTTGTCCTCAAGCCTGTACATCATATATAGTCTTCAAACTATTGAGTGTAAGCAATACTCCAAATAAGTTTATCTGTGAACAATGGATTGTAGTTATATATATAACACCTGGTGAAATAGCAATATCAACAGTTCTGCAAATCTTTGAATTACCAAAAAAAAAAAAAACAATCTTGGAATTGCCACTTGTTATGAACAACTGGTTAAGAAAAATGCAGAATGTTGCTTTTGTTATAGTGTCACGAAAGTGTAACGATTTCATAAATTTGTGTGTGATAGGATTGTGTTGGTTTCTGTTGCTCTTAATACTGTGATTTGTTTTTTAATACTGTGATGTGTTTCAGTCCAAGTTGCAGAGATAGTGAAATTCTTCTTCCCAAAAATGGTAGAGGTCAACCAATATTCACCTTGTAGTAAGGAAAGTCAAAAAATGGAAAATTGGAAATATCTCAACAGGTAATTTATTGTCAGAATTGATAGGAACATCTGGTCAACTTGTTTTAGGGGTAAAGATTTCAATAATACCATGTCAAGTGATGGTAGAGTACTGCATATTAATTGATACATTATAAGGTGAAAAAAACATCAATCGATACTTAATTAGGTGGTAAAACATAAAATGATACTTTATTAGGTGGCAAAGATCTTATAAGATACTATTTTAGATGGTAAAAATGTTAATTGGTACATTAAAAGGAGGTAAAAATATTAATTTATTCCTTATTTGGTGGCAAAGACCTTAATTGATATCTTACCAGGTGGCAAAGACCTTAATTGATATCTTACCGGGTGGCAAAGACCTTAATTGATATCTTACCGGGTGGCAAAGACCTTAATTGATATCTTACCGGGTGGCAAAGACCTTAATTGATATCTTACCGGGTGGCAAAGACCTTAATTGATATCTTACCGGGTGGCAAAGACCTTAATTGATATCTTACCGGGTGGCAAAGACCTTAATTGATATCTTACCGGGTGGCAAAGACCTTAATTGATATCTTACCGGGTGGCAAAGACCTTAATTGATATCTTACGGGGTGGCAAAGACCTTAATTGATATCTTACCGGGTGGCAAAGACCTTAATTGATATCTTACCGGGTGGCAAAGACCTTAATTGATATCTTACCAGGTGGCAAAGACCTTAATTGATATCTTACCAGGTGGCAAAGACCTTAATTGATATCTTACCAGGTGGCAAAGACCTTAATTGATATCTTTATAGATTACTTGTTAGATGGAAAAGAACTTACTTGATAAATGTACCATGTTTAGAAGAAAAATTCTAAATTGAGACAATGCATAGTTGTAAAAGATCTAAATTCAGTAAATATATGTGATGTTTAGTTGTGAAAATCTCAATTTAAATTGAAAGTAAAGGGCCATGTTCAGTGGTAAAATCTAAATTTTGACATCATGTTTAGTTGTACAGATCTAAGCTAACACCATGTTTAATGGTAAAGAGCTGAATTGTCAAGATATTTAGTGGTAAAGAGCTAAACAGTCACTGTGTTTAGAGGTAAAAAGCTAAATAGTTACTATGTTTAGTGCTTAACTCTAAATTGACACCATGTTTAGTGGTAAAGATCTAAATTGACACCATGTTTAGTGGTAAAGATCTAAATTGATACCATGCTTAGTGGTAAAGATCTAAATTGACACCATGTTTAGTAGTAAAGATCTAAATTGACACCATGTTTAGTGGTAAAGATCTAAATTGATACCATGCTTAGTGGTAAAGATCTAAATTGACACCATGTTTAGTAGTAAAGATCTAAATTGACACCATGTTTAGTGGTAAAGATCTAAATTGACTCCATGTTTAGTGGTAAAGATCTAATTTGATACCATGTTTACTTGTAAAGATCTAAATAGACACCATGTTTAGTAGTAAAGATCTAAATTGTCACCATGTTCAGTGGTAAAACCTAAATTTTGACATCATGTTTAGTTGTACAGATCTAAACTAACATCATGTTTAATTGTAAATAGCTGCTTTGTCAAGATATTTAGTAAAAAAAGATCTAAATTGACACCATGTTTAGTGGTAAAGATCTAAATTGTCACCATGTTCAGTGGTAAAACCTAAATTTTGACATCATGTTTAGTTGTACAGATCTTAACTAACATCATGTTTAATTGTAAATAGCTGCTTTGTCAAGATATTTAGTAAAAAAAAGATCTAAATTGACACCATGTTTAGTGGTAAAGATCTAAATTGACACCATGTTTAGTGGTAAAGATCTAAATTGACACCATGTTTAGTGGTAAAGATCTAAATTGACACCATGCTTAGTGGTAAAGATCTAAATTGACACCATGTTTAGTGGTAAAGATCTAAATTGACACCATGTTTAGTGTTAAAAATCTAAATTGACACCATGTTTAGTGGTAAAGCTCTAAATTGACACCATGTTTAGTGGTAAAGATCTAAATTGACACCATGTTTAGTGGTAAAGATCTAAATTGACACCATGTTTAGTGGTAAAGATCTTAATTTGACACCATGTTTAGTAGTAAAGATAAAAATTGACACGATAAGATATTTAGTAGAAAAAGATCAAAATTGACACCATGTTTAGTGGTAAAGCTCTAAATTGACACCATGTTTAGTGGTAAAGATCTAAATTGACACCATGTTTAGTGGTAAAGATCTAAATTGACACCATGTTTAGTGGTAAAGATCTAAATTGACACCATGTTTAGTGGTAAAGATATTACCAGTAATTGACACTGTGTTTAGTAGTAAAGGTCTCTCATTCTTTCTTTTAGGTGGTGAAAATCTAAATAAATATCTTTATCAATTTGTAAACTTAAATCATGAATATTAGCCTGCTTCTTAATCAAATATTACAAATCAAGTTAATAGCTTAAGATAGAATCTTTCATCCAGGCATTGAAATGGATGTTGCAGACATCACTCAGTGTAAAAAACCTTTCCATGGGCATTTTGGCAGTTAGCTATTAGTTTTATATGCTAAGAAGGAAAAAAAAGCAACTTCAGTTTTATTTTGATAAGATCATATTCATGAGCAATATGTCTAAATGTGAAATGCAATAGTTTACTTTGAATATTTGACCATCCGTCTTCAAATTATCTGAGATTTGTAACTTCATTAGGATACCCTAATGAACGAGAAAAAACAGCAGTTGTCAGACAGATCCCTGAAATTGTGTTACCCAGCTACAGAATATCATATTGATTGGAAAAAAGTGCATGCATTTGTACAGTCACAGTATATTGTTAATTTAAGTACAGCAGATGTGGAGAAGTTTTTTGTCACGGATGACTGATTTTTAACATTTATTGTGGAATTAGGTAAGGTGCCCTAATATTACTTTTACTTTTTTAAAGCTATATATATATTCAATATAAAATATTTTACAATGAAAGAAGTTGCGTTTTCTTTATCCTTTTAGTATGTGAAAAATAAGAATCACTCAGTGCATGGTCCACTGTCTGTGACTTTTATGGTTTCTGTATACTCACAGCTTGTTGGTGTGTTATGTATGCATGATTGTAATAACTGATCTATTAATATCTATGAAACAGAATTAACTGTAAAATTTAAATTTTCTTGGTTTTTATTAATATTGTATTTTTCTGAACAGAAATAACAATTTTATTGTGTCACTAAGTACAGATTTATCTTGTATGCTACCACAGATCTTGGCCATTCCTAAAAATCATTATCTTTGATAGAAGTTTTTTCGTCTGATAGAAACATAAATGGCTTGGCCAGGATAGATGCATTATGTAAATTTTTGTTCACATTTTATCAACTTAATCTCATTAAATGGTGATTACAGAATTTCACAATTTTAAAGATCTAGTGAAAATGTTCAAGTTTTTATTCTAATTAAAATTTAGAATTATTATCATATCAAGTGTGCATTGGATTTTGGAAACTTTTCATGATTGCAGAAAAGTATTTAAAAAACTAAGATTTGAACTTGGAGATGATGTGATACGAGATGTTGCCAACTGTAAACCAGGTGTCATAGAAGGAGTTCTATCTAAACTACGACTCAAGATAGATCAAGTACTTTGGCACATGAAAAATAATCCCCGACGTGAAAGTGATAAACCAGAGGCTGATCAAATGTATGGTGAGTTACCTCCCTTCTCTTAATATTTTGTATTGTATTTACAAGTATGTATTAGTCTGTCCCTGAATGATTATTTTATACTGATGTTTGATACATCATTGGATAATTAAGTGGTGAAACATGTATTATAAATATAGACATGTGGATTCTGTTACAGGTTTTGTAATTGTTTTAGGGACGCTGACATTTATACTAGATAAATAGTAGCTGTTTTATTGGTTTTCTCAAAATTTTATTATCACAGATATGAATAATGATATATATTTTTGTCATTTAGGTAATTATTAGGGTTTATGTGCACAAGACACATTTTCTGTCAGTGTGTATTACAATCAAATTGACTTGTATACATGAAAGTAAATGGATATTGTTTTAAAGAGGATGAGAATCATAAAGAATTGAGAAAGCGAGAGAAGAAATACCATCACTGATTGTTTTTGGAAATATGTGATTGAGCTAAAAGTATATCATCATATTCCATTTAACAAGAAGTTTTGTGTAAAACTTATCATATTTTATCATGTGTAAAAAGTTCAACTTCAACTTCAACTTTATTGTGAGATAACACCTATCACATTTGTGAGGGGAACAACATGAAACAGATTTATAAGCTCAGCTGGTCTGAAAGGGAGGGGCCTAAAAGGAGAAATTCAGTAAATTCTTCTCTTTCTGCAAGGAATGATTTGATTCCAACCAAATTAGGTCTGAAGTATAATGGGGAAGTAAGTTCAAGTTTGTATAAAAATAGGTCTCAGTCCCCAAGATCCTGAGAGGCAGGGGACAATAGGGAAAAAAGAGAAACTGTTTTAAAATCCTTCTTCTATAGAAATGCCTGAAATGTACAAATTTGGTCTGAAGTGTCCTTTGGTGGAGCAGGATCAATTTCGTATAAACATTGGGTCTGGGCCCAACAAGTGGGAAGATGGTGGGCAATAGTGGTAATAGCACAAATTCTATTAAAATCTTCTTGAGTGGAATTGCCTAGATTCTGTCTCAATTTGGTCTGAATCGTTTTGAGGTGAAGAAATAACAGTTTTGTATAGATGGATATTGAGCAAATTCTTTCAAATCCTTCATCTTTAGAAATGCCTGGATACTGTCATAATTTTACCTGCAGCATTTGTGGAGTAAAGGGAATCAAGTTTGAATGAAAAGTAGGCCTTGACTGCCTGGCAGGAGAGATGGGGCCCAATAGGGAAAATAGATGTAAATCTTTTAAAAATCTTGTCATTTAGTTCAGATTTAAGAAATTTCAGCCAACTAAACCAGACAAGACACACAGGCCCTCCTAGGTTTGTGAGGGAGGCAACCTGAAACTGATTTATTGTGTGGTCACATCCTGTTCCATGTGGAGGGGTCAACTTGACAAGCTGTGACATGTGAAGGGGTCATCTTGACATCCTGTTCCATGTGGAGGGGGCAACTTGACAACCTGTGACATGTGACAGGGTCAACTTGACATTCTGGTACATGTGAAAGGGTCAACTTGACATCCTGGTACATGTGAAAGGGTCAACTTGACATCCTGGTAGATGTGAAGGGGTCAACTTGACATCCTGGTACATGTGGAGGGGTTAACCTGAAACAGATAATTGTGGAGTCACGTACTGTCACTGTTCATTTATGGATCACTGCTACGTGTGACGGCCACAATGTAACAATATACTAGTGACACATACAATGATCACTCATCTAGAAACTTTTGTCTTTCTGAACACAGATTATTATGGTAGCATTCGCTCTAGTAAGTTACTACACCAGTATCTGTCACAAGTTTTCAGACAAATAAAAAGTATTTCATTGCAGTGTTTACTGACATTGAAAATTTGTGATTGAACGTGTTTCTAATGTTGATTAAGACGTGGTATTAAACAATATGTCGGTGTGTTATTAACAGATCCGTACCGCACTAAAACAGTCATGGAACCATATGACCCATACACTGGTGCGTAAGACCAAAAATTTGGTGATATTTATTGTTTGTCTTGCCTCTAGTTACCTATTGTACCCTGTAATATTTTGATATCATGTTAAATGTTATCATACTAAACAGTCAAACATGTTGATGTCATGTGCCATTTAGAAGCATAAATGGTTTGATAGCTGCGTTTCAAGTTCCATCCAAAACAGTTGTTTTCACTAATTCTAGTCATGCCTGCAGTAAATTAGCAAGAAAACAGTGTAATGCTTCACTTTACCATGGCCATGATGAAGTGACCCCACCGTAGATTTCCCCACCCCAGTCTAATTTTTTGTTATTTAAGTGTTTAATTGATTAACCAGGGTGATTGGGGAAAAAATGGTGAAAAAAGTTCATGAGTAAGAAAAACTGGTGAAATTGTTCCGTTTTTCATGGCCATGGTAGCATGAAGGCCCCTGCCCAACCCTATGTTTTATTTATTATGTATTGATGAACATAATCAAGTAAACCAATAAAAAATTTAGTGAGAAAACATCGGTAGAAAAGGAAGTGTAAAGCAACTTCACTTTACCATGGGCTTTTCTTTATCATACTAAAGCAGGTTTGCCACTGTGATGTAAGTGTTGACATCGCTGGAAATACATAGACATCTTTTGTAGTGATGTCACATATTGTATACAAGTAGCAGTGTTATTTTTTACTTTATCGGAATATTTTTACTCTCTAAAATTTCATCCTGTATTCATTTAGACATGTACAGTGTAAATGCTCAAAGCAAATGAAATTGTTAATGTAATGTACAAAACAGAATCAGATCAGTCATATCTGAGTCTGGACCAGTCAACTTTGTTCACTTCTACAAACTGAACCCTTTGTAATCTGGTCAAATACTCAGGTTTGGAGGAGTTCCATTGTATATAGAATTAAGTTAAACAACAGATATAACATTACAATTATAATTGTGAAATAACTAAGATTTATTAATTAAACATATGTTTACTGAAGACCACAAGTATGTAGAACTAACTAATTCCCGAAGCTAAGCTCATCACAAAATCAACTCTGGACAGGCTAAAAGGCAGCTACTCTCATTTACCTATCAGAACCCTTTGATACCTTAATAAATATCTATCCTTAGAAAAGTAAGCAAAAAATATTGATTTGATACTTCTTATAGGTAAAGAGTTCAAACATGTTTGATCATTTTTTAATCAACAATTTCTTGGATCCACAATATAAATTTTGATATATATATATTAATAAATGACATTTTTTTCCATTTTCCCTTGTGTGTGATATTGTTATATTTACTAATCCAATTAAAAATATCTTGAAGTGTTGTTTCAAAATCTAAAAAATATTGAGATATTTGTTTTTGTTTTATAGAGTGTTGACATCTTATTTTAGGACCCCAGGGGTCAACACATTACTTCTTGTTCAACGTCAGGAATGGCCTTATTACAGAACCTGAGGGATCAACACATTACTTCTTACTCAAAGTCAGAGAGTGGGCTTATTGCAGGACCCCAAGGTTAAATACATTACTTCTTACTCAAAGTCAGGGAGTTAGCTTATTTGAGGACCCCAGGGATCAACACATTACTTCTTGTTCAATGTCAGGGAGTGGGCTTATTACAGGACCTGAGGGTTCAACACATTACTTCTTACTCAAAGTCAGAGAGTGGGCTTATTATAGGACCCCATGGTTCAATACATTACTTCTTACTCAAAGTCAGGGAGTTAGCTTATTTTAGGACCCCAGGGGTCAACACACTACTTCATACTCAAAGTCAGGGAGTGGGCTTATTGCAGGACCCTAGGGTTAAATACATTACTTCTTACTCAAAGTCAGAGATTTAGCTTATTTTAGGACCCCAGTGGTCAACACATTACTTCTTGTTCAATTTCAGGGAGTGGGCTTATTACAGGACCTGAGGGGTCAACACATTACTTCTTGTTCAATGTCAGGGAGTGGGCTTATTACAGGACCTGAGGGATCAACAGATTACTTCTTACTCAAAGTCAGTGAGTTAGCTTATTTTAGGACCCCAGGGGTCAACACATTACTTCTTGTTCAAAATCAGGGAATGGCCTTATTACAGAACCTGAGGGATCAACACATTACTTCTTACACAAAGTCAGGGAGTTAGCTTATTACAGGACCTAAGGGGTCAACACATTACTTCTTACTCATAAAGGGAGTGGGCTTATTGCAGGACCCCAGTGTTAAATACATTACTTCTTGTTCAATGTCAGTGAATGGGCTTATTACAGGACCTGAGGGTTCAACACATTACTTTTTACTCAAAGTCAGGGAGTGGGCTTATTACAGGACCCCATGGTTCAATACATTACTTCTTACTCAAAGTCAGGGAGTTAGCTTATTTTAGGACCCCAGGGATCAACACATTACTTCATGTTCAACGTCAGGGAGTGGGCTTATTACAGGGCCCCAGAGGTCAACACATTACTTCTTGTTCAATGTCAGGGAGTGGGCTTAATACAGGACCTGAGGGGTCAACACATTACTTCTTACTCAAAGTCAGGGAGTTAGCTTATTTTAGGACCCCAGGGATCAACACATTACTTCTTGTTCAATGTCAGGGAGTGGGCTTATTACAGGACCTGAGGGGTCAACACATTACTTCTTACTCAAAGTCAGAGAGTTAGCTTATTTTAGGACCCCAGTGGTCAACACATTACTTCTTGTTCAATTTCAGGGAGTGGGCTTATTACAGGATCTGAGGGGTCAACACATTACTTCTTCCTCAAAGTCAGAGAGTTAGCTTATTTTAGGACCCCAGTGGTCAACACATTACTTCTTGTTCAATTTCAGGGAGTGGGCTTATTACAGGACCTGAGGGGTCAACACATTACTTCTTACTCAAAGTCAGGGAGTGGGCTTATTACAGGACCCCGTGGTTCAAAACATTACTACTTACTCAATGTTAGGGAGTTAGCTTATTTTAGGACCCCAGGGATCAACACATTACTTCTTGTTCAATGTCAGGGAGTGGGATTATTACATGACCCCCTGGTTCAATACATTACTTATTACGCAAAGTGAGGGAGTTAGCTTATTTTAGGACCCCAGAGGTCAACTTATACTTCTTGTTCAATGTCACGGAATGGGCTTATTGCAGGACCTGAGGGGTCAACACATTACCTCTTACTCAAAGTCAGGGAGTGGGCTTATTACAGGACCTTAGGGTTCAATACATTACTTCTTACTCAAAGTCAGGGATTAAGCTTATTTGAGGACTCCAGGGATCAACACATTACTTCTTGTTCAAAATCAGGGAATGGCCTTATTACAGAACCTGAGGGGTCAACACATTACTTCTTACTCATAAAGGGAGTGGGCTTATTGCAGGACCCCAGTGTTAAATACATTACTTCTTGTTCAATGTCAGTGAATGGGCTTATTACAGGACCTGAGGGTTCAACACATTACTTTTTACTCAAAGTCAGGGAGTGGGCTTATTACAGGACCCCATGGTTCAATACATTACTTCTTACTCAAAGTCAGGGAGTTAGCTTATTTTAGGACCCCAGGGATCAACACATTACTTCATGTTCAACGTCAGGGAGTGGGCTTATTACAGGGCCCCAGAGGTCAACACATTACTTCTTGTTCAATGTCAGGGAGTGGGCTTAATACAGGACCTGAGGGGTCAACACATTACTTCTTACTCAAAGTCAGGGAGTGGGCTTATTACAGGACCTGAGGGGTCAACACATTACTTCTTACTCAAAGTCAGTGAGTTAGCTTATTTTAGGACCCCAGGGGTCAACACATTACTTCTTGTTCAATGTCAGGGAGTGGGTTTATTTTAGGACCCCAGGGGTCAACACATTACTTCTTACTCAAAGTCAGGGAGTGGGCTTATTACAGGACCTGAGGGGTCAACACATTACTTCTTACTCAAAGTCAGGGAGTGGGCTTATTACAGGACCTGAGGGGTCAACACATTACTTCTTACTCAAAGTCAGTGAGTTAGCTTATTTTAGGACCCCAGGGGTCAACACATTACTTCTTGTTCAATGTCAGGGAGTGGGTTTATTTTAGGACCCCAGGGGTCAACACATTACTTCTTACTCAAAGTCAGGGAGTGGGCTTATTACAGGACCTGAGGGGTCAACACATTACTTCTTGTTCAATGTCAGGGAGTGTGCTTATTACAGGACCTGAGGGTTACTTCTTACCCAAAATTGGGGAGTTGATTTATTTTAGGACCCTAGGGGTCAACACATTCCTTCTTACTCAAAATCAGGGAATGGCCTTATTACAGAACCTGAGGGATCAACACATTACTTCTAACTCAAAGTCAGGGAGTTAGCTTATTTTAGGACCCCAGAGGTCAACATATTACTTCTTATTCAATGTCAGGGAATGGGCTTATTACAGGACCTGAGGGTTCAACACATTACTTTTTACTCAAAGTCAGGGAGTGGGCTTATTACAGGACCCCATGGTTCAATACATTACTTCTTACTCAAAGTCAGGGAGTTAGCTTATTTTAGGACCCCAGGGGTCAGCACATTACTTCTTGTTCAATGTCAGGGAGTGGGATTATTACATGACCCCCTGGTTCAATACATTACTTATGACGCAAACTGAGGAAGTTAGCTTATTTTAGGACCCCAGAGGTCAACATATTACTTCTTGTTCAATGTCAGGGAATGGGCTTATTACAGGACCTGAGGGTTCAACACATTACTTCTTGCTCAAAGTCAGGGAGTGGGCTTATTATAGGACCCCATGGTTAAATACATTACTTCTTACTCAAAGTTATGGAGTTAGCTTATTTTAGGACCCCAGGGGTCAACACATTACTTCTTGTTCAATGTCAAGGAGTGGGCTTATTACAGGACCTGAGGGGTCAACACATTACTTCTTACTCAAAGTCAGGGAGTGGGCTTATTGCAGGACCTGAGGGGTCAACACAACACAACACAAAGTCAGAGAGTTAGCTTATTTTAGGACCCCAGAGGTCAACATATTACTTCTTGTTCAATGTCAGGGAATGGGCTTATTACAGGACCTGAGGGTTCAATACATTACTTCTTACTCAAAGTCAGGTAGTTAGCTTATTATAGGACCCCAGGGGTCAACACATTACTTCTTACTCAAAGTCAGGGAGTGGGCTTATTACAGGACCTGAGGGGTCAACATATTACTTCTTGTTCAATGTCAGGGAGTGGGCTTATTACAGGACCCCAGAGGTCAACACATTACTTCTTGTTCAATGGGAGTGGGCTTATTACAGGACCCATGGAGGTCAACACACATATATATCTGGGTAGGTTTATAACAGGGCAATGAAAAAGCATTGGTTTATAAATTTGCTGAACAGCAATATTTGTTGGCTGGCTTATTACAGGACAATAAAATATCCTTGGTTTACAGTTTCACTAAACAGTGATATATCTGGATGGACTTTCTGCCAGATAAATATGGTACATTTGACTGTGTTTGTGACATTTACTGTTTTTCTAGATACAGATACTACTTCAGCAAAGTTTGGACTGATTACAGATGATAGTCTATAAAACAATAGCAATATATAAAAAGATATTGAATATGGAGAAGATTTAGTATTTTGGGAAGCCATTTTCAACATTTCTGAAGTCATTTTGGGTTCTGTTAAGTTGAAATACCTTGCATTGGTAAAAACTCTTTATATAATTTTCAAGTAATGGACTTAAACATTTTGACTCCATTGATTTTCATCTGATTCGGGACCTACATTTTAACTATCTTCAAGGTTCAAAGTGGAGGTGATGAGACTTTGTAGCTTTCACAGAATTTAAGAAATATATGGAAGTTAAATATGTGACTATAAAGAAATGACATTGTTTTGATTTCAAGTTGACTGCAAGAATTATGATACAGACTGATTGCTGTGGTTTAGTGTGTAATTTTGCAGTGTGTCATCATTCCACTAGTAATATGTTGAGTATCACAGAACAATGTTAGTATTACATTGTATTATCAATATTTCAAGGAACAATACAATTTATGATACAATGTATTAAGTTTTTAGAACAAATACTTTAATATTACAAGAAATTAAAAAAACTTACTGAACTTTCTATCAGTGAGCCAACAACATTCTTCTTTACTAATTAAACAAAGTTTGATGTATTCCAGATGTGGTTTATCTTCTTCCAAACCTAATTTTTTTCTATACTAATGTGTACTTAATATCATTTATATTTGAGAACCAGATATCTACAGTCCATGTGTTATAATCTATAGGATAACAGTCTGGTTGTAAACAATGTATTACATTGTTACTGTTGGGGGCTGGAGGCGCAACATTTCTTAATGGTGTTGGTAAATAATTCTTTTGAGTACTACAGTGTGCTACCACATACCACTATTTATTTACATCTATTACAGAATACACTGTAAGCAGTGTTGGAATGTATTAAAGTATCTATTACACATATGTAATTTGTAGAAACATGTTACACTGTATAATGTATGACAGTGGCATTGCACACTGTTTTACAATCTTTTTATGTATTGCAATTTGCAACTATCAACATAGATACACAGTATATTACAGTGTTTTTAACACTGTACTTATCTGTGTCTTCAATGTATTTAAGAGTATTAATGCATTAATCATATTAGTTCCATGTTTACTGTTTAGTAAAGATTTCATTTCATTGTGATATGGTACCACTTTACAGATTCTCCACAAAGAAAACTTACATATCGTCACACGAGTCCCAGGAGAGGGTAAGTAGTTATATTTCTATCGGAAAGTGGAAGTTTACATTGTTATCATATGATTTAGAAGAGATCAACATGACACTTTATAGCAAGGAAACCTGAGAATATATACTTCATGATCCTTATCTTTTAAAGAAAGTATCACTGTATTATAATTATATCTGTAAAAAAAGAGGCAATCCCTACACAACTCAAATGTATTAAAGAGATTTATATACATTTAAGCAATTGGACATGTTTTTCCATTTTACAACATCTAGAGAAATAGACCATCCTGTAATATGTAAAGCAAATGTAAAGGTACAGGCAGTATATTGTTCATGGAAAAGTAGTCATCTGTTTTACTTAACAGAGGGAACAAAGAATACATTTCAAATAAATTCAGATATGAAATGTTAGACTTTACTTGCCAAGGATTTCAATATGCATGTTATGATGGCTGACCTTTTGATGTGTTTTTATTTGAAACAAAAAAAGAGTGAATTTTGTTGTCCTTGACTTAAATAATTTCCATTAAATTGGTTGCAGTTCACTTCATCCATTTGTTTAATATAACTTTCAGTGTACTGTGCAATTATGCATGTGTAAAATCTACCAATTTGAAGCATTCCAATTGGTAATATTTTAGAGGGGGTATTCTAGAATTACTCTAATTTTCTTTTCAATTTATTTTTTATTATTTACTGTTTATATTAAATCTGCATGCACACTATTTTCTGTTATTGGTAAACATTTAATTCAAAGTTTAAAATCATGTGCCATAAAATATTGACAGTTTGAAATCACCATGCCATTTATAGGGACAGATGAATTAAGTAACAAATTTGAAATTGGTTAAGTTCTGAAAAAGTATGACTCATGAAAGTTTTCATAGTTGTCAAATGAGATAGTTTGTATCTTTGTCCACCATTCTGAATTCATTTCTCGGGGCAAATCTGTCACAAAGAAATTCAGCAACAACATTGTGCCTGTAACTATAACAACTCTTAATCAGCACTTGTGCACTACATAATGTCTCGAGGTTACACTAAATGGGGCATCATGTTTATAAATGTAACCTTTTTTGTCATGTAATGACCTTCTTAACAGGCCATGATAGGTCTGTCAGTTTGTCCGTCAGTGATAATTTTGTCCAGGGTATAACACAATAACTGTAAGAGGTATCAATATGAACTTCATAGGTAGATAAATCTTAACAAAGAAAAGTGCAATGCATCAGAACCATCATTCTCTTTCGCGTAATTTGGAAGTTATTGCCCTTTGTTATTTTTCATTCTTAAATTTTGTCTGGACCATAACACTTAAACTATAAGAGGTATCAGCATGAAACTTCATAGGTTGACAAATCTCAGTGGGAATAAGGGCAGTGAACATCATAACTATCTTATTGACCTTTGCTGTTTTTCATACTTAAATTTTGTCTGCTTCGAGAGCATAACCCGTCTCTGACAGCCCTTGTTTTTCTCTATTCGATGAGACTTTGCTCTGCAAAATACTCCTTCCCTTTAATCCAGTACCCCAATCCACTTACCAAAAAAGAAAAAGTAAAGATAACATATGTCAGTACACTTCAGTCTATTGTTAACTGCCTGTTTTCAGTGAACACATAGATTTGATCACCAGTCAGAATCTTGGAAGGTATGTGTTGTTGCTGTGTTAAGTGTTTCTAGGTAGCTCTGTGTCATCTGTGGATGTCAGTCTGTCATTTACCAAATATTATCATCAATGGTTGTTGGTTTGTCCAGCTGTATCTTGTTGAGACAGAATTGGTTGACAGATCTATGTGTTGTCCTAACCTGCTTTATTCACGGTTGTTCCTGGTTGGTCACTACTTATTGAAAATTAAATGGTTCTGTTCGTTTTTCTGTCTGACTTTTTTTTTTGAGTCATGCATTGTTGTCATCACCACTTAGCCCCTTGCCCCTAAACACCCTCTGTATCCTACCTATTGGTGTGATAATTACGAAAGCCTCCTCTCCCTCAACACCTGCTGTATCCTACCTATTGGTGTGATATTTACGAAAGCCTCCTCCCCCTCAACACCTTCTGTATCCTACCTATTGGTGTGATATTTACGAAAGCCTCCTCCCCCTCAACACCCTCTGTATCCTACCTATTGGTGTGATATTTACGAAAGCCTCCTCCCCCTCAACACCTTCTGTATCCTACCTATTGGTGTGATATTTACGAAAGCCTCCTCTCTCTCAACACCTTCTGTATTCTACCTATTGGTGTGATGTTTACAAAAGCTTTCTCTCCCTCAACACCTGCTGTATTCTGCCTATTGGTGCCATGTTTATGATATATAGGATGTCCCCCTCAACACCTTCTGTATTCTACCTATTGGTGTGATGTTTACAAAAGCTTTCTCTCCCTCAACACCTGCTGTATTCTGCCTATTGGTGCCATGTTTATGATATATAGGATGTCCCCCTCAACACCTTCTGTATTCTACCTATTGGTGTGATGTTTACATAAGCTTTCTCTCCTTCAACACCTTCTGTATCCTACCTATTGGTGCCATGTTTATGATATATAGGATGTCCCCCTCAACACCTTCTGTATTCTACCTATTGGTGTGATGTTTACAAAAGCTTTCTCTCCCTCAACACCTTCTGTATCCTACCTATTGTTGTCATGTTTATGAAAGCCTCCTCTCTCTCAACACCTTCTGTATTCTAGCTATTGGTGTGATGTTTACAAAAGCTTTCCCTCCCTCAACACCTTCTGTATCCTACCTATTGGTGTCATGTTTATGATATATAGGATGTCCCCCTCAACACCTTCTGTATCCTACCTATTGGTGCCATGTTTATGATATATAGGATGTCCCCCTCAACACCTTCTGTATTCTACCTATTGGTGCCATGTTTATGATATATAGGATGTCCCCCTCAACACCTTCTGTATCCTACCTATTGGTGCCATGTTTATGATATATAGGATGTCCCTCTCAACACCTTCTGTATCAACACCTTCTACCTATTGGTGCCATGTTTATGATATATAGGATGTCCCCTCAACACCTTCACCCTATTGGTGCCATGTTTATGATATATAGGATGTCCCCCTCAACACCTTCTGTATTCTACCTATTGGTGCCATGTTTATGATATATTGGATGTCCCCCTCAACACCTTCTGTATTTTACCTATTGGTGTGATGTTTACAATTGCTTTCTCTCCCTCAACACCCTCTGTATCCTACCTATTGTTGTCATGTTTACGAAAGCCTCCTCTCCCTCAACACCTTCTGTATCCTACCTATTGTTGTCATGTTTATGAAAGCCTCCTCCCCCTCAACACCTTCTGTATCCTACCTATTGGTGTGATATTTACGAAAGCCTCCTCTCTCTCAACACTTTCTGTATTCTACCTATTGGTGTGATGTTTACAAAAGCTTTCTCTCCCTCAACACCTGCTGTATTCTGCCTATTGGTGTGATGTTTACAAATGCTTTCTCTCCCTCAACACCCTCTGTATCCTACCTATTGTTGTCATGTTTATGAAAGCCTCCTCTCTTTCAACACCTTCTGTATTCTAGCTATTGGTGTGATGTTTACAAAAGCTTTCTCTCCCTCAACACCCTCTGTATCCTACCTATTGTTGTCATGTTTATGAAAGCCTCCTCCCCCTCAGCACCTTCTGTATCCTACCTATTGGTGTCATGTTTATGATATATAGGATGTCCCCCTCAACACCTTCTGTATTCTACCTATTGGTGTGATGTTTATGATATATAGGATGTCCCCCTCAACACCTTCTGTATTCTACCTATTGGTGCCATGTTTATGATATATAGGATGTCCCCCTCAACACCTTCTGTATTCTACCTATTGGTGTGATGTTTACAAAAGCTTTCTCTCCCTCAACACTTTCTGTATCCTACCTATTGGTGTGATGTTTATGATATATAGGATGTCCCCCTCAACACCTTCTGTATTCTACCTATTGGTGCCATGTTTATGATATATAGGATGTCCCCCTCAACACCTTCTGTATTCTACCTATTGGTGTGATGTTTACAAAAGCTTTCTCTCCCTCAACACCTTCTGTATCCTACCTATTGGTGCCATGTTTATGATATATAGGATGCCCCCCTCAACACCTTCTGTATTCTACCTATTGGTGTGATGTTTATGATATATAGGATGTCCCCCTCAACACCTTCTGTATCCTACCTATTGGTGTGATGTTTATGATATATAGGATGTCCCCCTCAACACCTTCTGTATTCTACCTATTGGTGCCATGTTTATGATATATAGGATGTCCCCCTCAACACCCTCTGTATCCTACCTATTGGTGCCATGTTTATGATATATAGGATGCCCCCCTCAACACCTTCTGTATTCTACCTATTGGTGTGATGTTTATGATATATAGGATGTCCCCCTCAACACCTTCTGTATCCTACCTATTGGTGTGATGTTTATGATATATAGGATGTCCCCCTCAACACCTTCTGTATTCTACCTATTGGTGCCATGTTTATGATATATAGGATGTCTCTCCCTCAACACCTTCTGTATCCTACCTATTGGTGCCATGTTTATGATATATAGGATGCCCCCCTCAACACCTTCTGTATTCTACCTATTGGTGTGATGTTTATGATATATAGGATGTCCCCCTCAACACCTTCTGTATCCTACCTATTGGTGTGATGTTTATGATATATAGGATGTCCCCCTCAACACCTTCTGTATTCTACCTATTGGTGCCATGTTTATGATATATATGGATGTCCATGTTTATGATATATAGGATGCCCTCAACACCTTCTGTATTCTACCTATTGGTGTGATGTTTATGATATAAGCTTTCTCTCCCTCAACACCTTCTGTATCCTACCTATTGGTGCCATGTTTATGATATATAGGATGTCCCCCTCAACACCTTCTGTATTCTACCTATTGGTGTGATGTTTATGATATATAGGATGTCCCCCTCAACACCTTCTGTATTCTACCTATTGGTGTGATGTTTATGATATATAGGATGTCC